TTCCATAATATTTGTACATTTGGATCATAACATCCGATATTGAAAACAAATTTAAAATTTTTATAATCTTGAAAAACGATCACAAACAGAAAAAAACACTCGTATCTTATATGGAATTATTCAGAATTGCATTTGGAATAAACCTATACATGTCCTGAGTGGCACTTTTGTGTAATTTCATCAAAAAGTACTGATTATGGGGAGAAAAAAACTTTTGACAATTTAGATCTAGACCTAGATCTGGCACTCAAAAATATTGATTTCTCAATAACAGTGCATTGGCAATATGAGTCCAATCGTATCAATATTATAAAAGAGAGTCCTACACTTCTTTAGTGGGCAAAATAATGATAGATTTAGTTGCGTAAAATTACTAAGACTGGTCCAGTGTCCGGGCTATAATTTTGGCATCGCGATAAAACAAAATCGAATAAACTACGAAATCGCGTTTCAAAACGAAATCTAAACTTCCGATTTTCAGTGGAAATGCTTGACCCGGAAGTCAACATTATATTATGACCTTTATTTTAACATGGATATATGGATTGGAATAGAATCTAAGCTAAAATTGAAGATCGGTTCTCGAGCCGCCGAGAGCGGCTTAGCGTACTGTCGGCACTTTAGCCGCGCCGCCCCCCACGGCTCGGCGTAGCGAATGAGTTAAATAAATATTAGCCTTTGCTTTCCTGTAGAGCACCAACCCTTTTTGGTTGAGCATTTACTATGTTAGTTAGATTTTGGACATATAAATCATCCGTCACTGAGGAACAGAGACCACGGAACTGCCATGGCATGAGGTGGCCTGACTGGGATTAACAATAACTAAACCCCACTTTTGAGAGTGGACGGATGGCTTCATTAAGATGGCAACATCACGCAAGTGCTGGAACGTCACATTATGTCTTTATTTTTGTCATCATGGTGTCATTTAGTATTTGGTAGACCTCTACATCTTTTTGCAATACAAAGCACCTTTTCAAGTGCCTTTGGGCAATTCTTGGGTAAATCATACCAACGGAGTAAATAAAGCCCCGAAATAAATCCTATGTACAGATTTGTTGAGCCCCTTGAAACAGCAGCTGAAGAAAAGTGACTTTGCTCCTAGTTCACACGCTTTGTTGGCAAACTCTCAGTTACATTTGGCTTTGGGATAAAATCAGAAATGACTGATAATAATTATGTCCACATTTTAATATAGTCCAGGCCTAAACGGTTCATGCTCTACTCAAAGCCAATATCTCCTTTTAACGAAATACTAATGAGCACAAAAGTAATGTTAAGTCCAAGTTTTGCTTGCTATTTGTGACTGGCGTGTTTTCCGATCTGTTTCAAACTATTGTAATAAAATCTATTCATTTATTGGCGACAAAAAAATAATTCTGCATTCATTTAATTTACAATTTACTCCTTTCCACCAGTGTGAATTATACGTTCCAATACAAAAGCATGTATACACACACTTTTACAATTGTTTGATTTCGCAGAATTTTGTAAAGCATGGGGTTTTTTTAAGGACAATTTTGAGTGACCATGTCTCAGTCGACTCTTGTTGTAGATGGAAAATATGTCAGATGATGCAGAATTTGTTTAGATGGCTTTATACTGGTATCATGAGTGGGAAGTACAAGGCTTTAGCACAATGATTGGGTGAATACATTTTCAAGTTTCTTTTGGACACCACTATAATGTACAGTGTAGTGAAAATAAAAAGTCGACTTACTTTTTAGCCGACATTCAGTCAGTATTCGGATAGACAATAGACATGATGGTCCTTCGACAAAATCCGGAAGAAAGCAGGGAAAAAACGATTAGAGTAAGACAACAGCCAACCAACATTGATGGCGAATTGCACACATGATCCACAGTAGGCCTCAAAGTTGCTTGTGACTTTTATGATCGTCTCCACGTTTTACGATGTGTCACACTGTATGTGCAGGGGAGGGGGGGAGGGAGCTGGATGTACTCTGGTGTTGATGCAAGTCCAGTCAGTGACATAGAGTTACCTTGGTTTGGCACTTCATCACATTGCATCTCCATTGGATGACGAGACTTACTAATATGATTGGCTGAAAAGTAGGGACCAAGGCACTGGCTTGATTTACCACAGGTCAGATCAGTGTGTGCTCCTTTTCCCAAACATGGTTACTAATCGTTTACGAAGTTGTAAGCACGCAGAGCATGCTGCTGCATTATGTGCAAGTATAATGATTATCATTACTTGTGCGTCTCTTTTGTCTCGGCAGCTTCTGTGAGACTTGGATGCCAGAGAAATTTAAGAAGATAAAGATGAGGAGAAGGAAGAATACCATGGAAGAAGAAAGTAGCAATAACTGATGAATTGGTTGTGGATAATCTCTGATAAAATAAACTAAAAGGGATCTCATCGGTTAATCATTAGTTATAGTGTTTGTAAACTTACATGATCCTCGTCTGTAACAAGATTCAGCTATAATAGTAAGTAATAAAAAGGGATATCAAGTCGGTCTCAGCCGTCCTGTTATAGATTTGTTGATATGGTTATATTGATAGGTTGTGGATAGTTTAAAGTCTTTCACATTCGGCAAGACAAGGATAATATAACCAACTTAGTAATTGTCTAGAAGCAGTGAATTTACTTTACTTTGCAATTTATCATACGTAGAATTCTTGGACCATGCTTTGGCAAAGTCTGTTGAATTCTTATTTGTAGTTGAACTTTAGTTTCACTTCAGTATTTTCTTCTAATTTAGTGCCGTTAGAAGGGGCATTGTCATAGTTTTTAAAGGCTTATTTTGTAAATAATTATTCTATTGACTCTGTTTGTTCATTTAATATTTCTTTGAATGGATTCCCGGAGAGCAACGGATAATTGCTTTTTTAAGAGGAAACAACCCTGACTGCTTGTTTAAGTGATTAATAATATTTTCTTGTCAATCGCAATCTGTTCATGTCGAATGTAGCAGTTTGATAGTGTATTCATGCCTTTTCTTAGCCCATTCTCATGATTAACACGCGTGAGGTTTTTTTTCCCAAAGGAAGTGAAAAATGTCCCAGGGAACTTCTCGGATCTCAAATGACTATGGTTGTGGTGGAGGTTCAAAAGAGGAGGGTGAACTTTCTGATGATGAGGATCCGCCAGGAGTTGCGTTCAGGCACCATTCCCGCTCTGTGGAACGGACAACAGGTCATCAGAAGCGGGCACATGACCCTTCTAGTCCTTTGAGAAGTGATCAGTACAATGTTAAAGAGAGGGTTACTAGTCACAGCAGACGTACAACTTCTCAGCACCATTCTTTTGGTGCTGGTGTCCATAGGAATAAAAGTTCTGGATCGGAGAACTTCAGTGTCAGGTTGCATGATCAAAAGTGGGAAAGCAACAGGACATCCGTGAAACGGAAAGATGGGCACCGAAGTCACAGCAGTCAGAGATACCCGCTCTCACCCGGCCCCGCTGATCCAGACGAGGAGTACAGCAGACACAGAGAGAGGCGGGAGTCAACCGAAAGCACGTCGTCTGCGTACCACTCGAGCCATACGCCTTATAACTCCAGATGTATCCTTGCACGGCTTGAATGCTTGCTTATTTGGACTTGATCTACTGAATGACTGTTGAGTAAAATTATCTAGAATCTGGGCAAGCTTTGGAAAACTGTAAATTTCACTCTTTTTTTTTTAATTCAAAGGGTTGGGGAAAATTTGAAGCTATGACTGAACAGTTGTCAGTTAACATCGGTAATTATATGCATCTTTCCTCTTGTCAATTTTCTCTTGTCGACAGGTTTTTATTGCATTGTGATATGAAAGTAGGGTCTTTTCATTAACTTGAATGTACCTTTGTTGTGGAATAACTGGTACAGACAAGTAGTCTTTGAAATGGAGAAGCACATTTCCTTAGAATATTTGGTACTCTGCTTTTTCATGTTTTTATTGTCTGATTATTCTAAAACTAAAACATCTTTATATCTTTAACCACTGCTTTTTATGTCCTGTGAGGAAAGTAGCTGACAGCAGATTATGTCTCATTAAAAATTGTATATAAGTTTGAAATTTAAACTACCTGCAACCAGCCTACTTTATATGAAAAGTTAATCTGAAATTTACTCTCTAAATTTCCTCAATGATACATAGTCTGGCATAACCGGCGTTTTCGAGCTTCGTCAGTGAGACCGTTCAGTCCACCTAGGCACTCTTCCTCTCACAGAGGGAGAGAAAGCCCCTTGAAGTCTGCTGCGAGCCTGGAGAACATTGCGGTAGAGAACGACAGAGGCCACATAGAGCTGGAATTGTTGGAGAAAGAGCAGGAGAGAATACGAGCGCAGCTGAAAAGTTTGGAGGAAGAAGAGGAGACCTGTAAAGATGGAAAAGGTGTGATAATCGATATTTTTAACTGAAATTTGTTTGACAGATTCTGTTTTGGCTTTGTTCTTCTTTTGTGAAATTTGTATACACACAAATATTGCGATTTAATGTGTCTAGACGATTGAAGATACTTTTCCAATTATTAACTTTTCATAAATGAATACTTTCCTTTGTCTTGTGTATTTTCTGTGTGCAATCATAAACTAATCGCTGTACCCATTTAAATAGAATTCCTTCTTTTACATCCATTTTTTTTTTCAACTTTCCATTGATATTTACATTGGATTGTCAGACCAATGTATGTTGTGGGTAACTAATAAAATATAATGTATAAATATACTTTTATAATGTTTTTAATTTCTAACAGAAAATTTTCTTGTGGCGGATGACTCATCTGAAGTATTTGTACCCGTGAAAGAACCACCAGCTACTGGCTCTGGCAACAGTGATGTTGACTTCTTCGCTGATGATGTAGCCCCAGAGGATAACATAGAGGTTTGTGTTGGATGGCTGGACCGACTGGTCGTCTCAAATGATTCATCTTTAATTGTTTGTTGGACCCTTTTTTTTTCTTCTTTTTTTTGTGTACTTGCAGTCGAACCTGCTCCAACAGTCACCTGTCCAAGACAATCACCTGTACAAATGACCGGTTCTCGTGGGGGTTTTTTAAATATCATGTTGACACTGTCAAGACGTCCACCTGTCTAGAACAATCACTAACCTCCTCAACAATGGATGAGTACATTGGAAAATTTGGACTGTATTTATAGCTTATCTAGCTTGAGTTGATGGCAATGTCAGACCTGTCAAGTACTCTGATAAAATCAGAGCCCTCCAACGTATTTTTGGCTATTGAAGAACCCTGATTGGATTTGCATAAAGTCCAATTTCTTTCTTGAATTCTGATTCCACCGGTCGTGGGAAAATTTACGTAAATAATTTGAAAATATACACATTTTTTTAAAAAATGTATTTGCTTATATTTGCAGTACATATTTTTTTGCCACTCTCAGTTCATTACGAAATCTTTATCAACTTTGGTTCAGGGAACTCGGAATTTTTCCCCATACTTAGATCTTTAGCTTGATTTCAGAGGAAAACTTCTATTTGTGGTAACTGAGTGGTTGGCAGATCCACAACATTCACATTTTTGCAGCACTGAGTATAAGTAACTGTTTCTGTACACAGGAGGATGAGGACACCGACAGTGATGATAACCTTGACCTTCAAGAACTGCGTCGTCTGGCCTTGGCCACGTCGGAGAGGCATCTGCGCCTCTTGGCCTCGGAAACGCCGGTGGAAATCTCCAGTGAGTGAAACATTTCCGTTCATTATTAGCGCTCCCTCTTCCTGAACAGAGAACAACCTTGACTGTAGATTCATGATTTGTTCTTTGTGATTTGTGAGTCTATTTTTTATTTCAAACTGATTTATTTCTAGATTCACTTTCGTCTTTGTTCATATTGTTTTTCCCATCTTTTTTGGGTTTTGTATAGCTTTTACTTTCTTCTTTGTACATCTTGTTTTCATATAAATCTGTCTTCCTTGTTCATCCTGTGCGGAGTCAAACAGGCGATTAAGTTACTGTATGTAGATACCAGAAAAATAGCCGTGGGTGGTTGGCGGGTGCTCCGGTGTGGTTTGCTTCTTTATTCCTATCAAACATCTATCGTCCTTATCTCTCCTTCTTCTTTTTTGTGTTTGTTACTCTCTTGTAACCCCTCTAATCTTCTGGCGCTCACATGACCTTATGCAGTCCGAGCGGCGTAAACCTCTACTAAAACATAAAACATCTATCGTCCGTATCTCTTTGCCTTCTTTTCTTTGTATGTTCCTCTCAAGTAGCGCCTCTAACCTTCGCCACTTGTATGACCTGTTTGTGTTGCATGTGCCTTAAGTTAAAACACTTGCTAATACTAAGCTAAGTTTTACTAATGTAATCACATGTGATGCTTGCAGTTGGGCATTGAATTCGAAGACCCCAACTCTTAATTGACCAAATAATATTTAATGGCATTAAACCTACGCCATGTGGGTGGTTGGTGGGTTCTCTGGTGTGGTTTGCTTCTTCTTTCCTATCAAAATTCTATCACCCTTATCTCCCCTCCTTCTTTTTTATGTTTGTTACTCTCTTGTAACACCTCTAATCTTCTGGCGCTCATGTGACCATATGCAGTTTCGAGCACTGTAAAACCTCTACTAAAACAAAAAACCTACACCTTATAACTTTTCCCTCCGAAGAAGAAGGTCTTGACAAGTGAAAACTGTCATCAGTACTTGTCCACTTTTTTAAGACGTCAGATGATGTAGCTTTCGAAGAAGTGTGCCATGTTCAAACCTTCCATGTAGGTGGTTGGCGGGTGCTCTGATATGGTTTGCTTCTTCTTTCCTATCAAACATCTATCGTCCTGATCTCTCCTCCTTATTTTTTGTGTTTGTTAATCTCTAGTAATTCCTCTAATCTTCGGCACTTATATGACCTTATTGTATTGGAGTGCCGTAAAACACTTACTAAAACAAAGAATAATAGCCCTAGGAAACTGTTCTCAGTGAGTGGTTGGCAGGTGCTGTCGTGTTGTTTGCTCCTTCTTTCCAATCAAACATCTATCGTCCGTATCTCCTCTCTGCCTTCTTTTCTTTGTATGTTCCTCTCAAGTAGCACCTCTAACCTTCGGCACTTGTGTAATCTATTTGTGTTGCATATGCCTCTAGTAAGAACGTTTGGGGAAAAGGTTGGAATCTCCAGAACCCCTGTAGATTTAGATTACGTAACGAACCAGTAGTAGCAAATAAACCTGTATTGCAAATAGACACTAATGAACACAAATAAAAATTTGTATTTGTTCTTCTTTTATGATAAGTCTTGCAATTTTTGCAAATAAACTTAAAAATGATAAGTTGTATACGACCTATAGAAAATAGAATTGAATTGAAGAAAAAGGCAAGATTTTATAAAGGTTTTTCGACGAGCAAAAAAAAAGAATACCCTAATACCCTCGAAAAAAACACAATTTTATGGAATCAATAGGTAGGTCTGCATATTACTCAATTAGTCTTTTCACCGCTTTTTACCCTTATTCAGGCCCGGCAAAGACTCTGGAGGACTCAGTGGTGGTCATCCCAGACGCCGAGCCAGCTCCTCTTGAAGCGGAGCCGGAAGTGGTCACGGTGGAGGAAGACGATGACGAGGCTCCAGTAGTTAGCGTTAGCCAGACCGCAGACGCGACAGGTGTCAGCGACAGCAAGGACAAGAAGTCTTCCGATTCAACAGTCCCCGAAGGGAAGTCAAAGCACCGGAGCCGTTCCAAAGAATCGACCGGTGGGAAGGGAAGTGTCAAGTCCCAGGTTGTACGCCTCGGTCCGAAAACCAAAGGCAAGAAGAAAAGGAGGAAGGAAACCAGCAAAGGTAGGATGGAAACAATAAATACCGTCGTATGATTACTGAAACATATCTGCTAGAACATTTCAGTGACCCACGTTACGCACTTTTCAAGGACATCCTGAGTGAGTGTTGAGTTCCTGCGTGCTGTCGGCAAGGCTGACCACTTATGACGCCACAGTTCCAGAAGGGGGAGGGAGAGAGAGAGAGAGAGAGAAAGATCTTATGATTCAGTGAAACAAATACTATCTTACGATTACGTGAAACTTACTACAGTACCTTGAATATATGACGGGTAAATTACAAAATATAAGCTGTCGAATTTCTTATCTTCGTCTCTTAAGCAGTCTCTATTATAGTGCATTTCTCTACAAGAGTCTTATTTTTATTGTACGAGGACTGTCCCACGGAAAACTGGAATTTGGCTGTAATTTGAAAACTATTCAATATTTTCACATTCTGTAAATGCATATTTGTAAACCATTCATTTAAGAATTTCCCGATCGAGCACCATGAGCATCGCACAAACCAAACGAACACAGCAGTTCTCCAAAAATGGCTACCCCCTTGGAAAATTGGTCAAGGGTTGAAGTGAGGTCTCTCATTCGGTTTCTGACCGCAAAAGGTCTCAAACGTATAGAAATACGCACTGAAATAAAGTCAGTTTACGGGGATAAAGTAATGGCAAAGTCACAGGAATACGAGTGGTGTAGTAAATTGAAAGCCGGACATACGGACGTCCATGACAAATTCATGCAGGGCCTTGTTTTTTCTGCCAAGACTGAGAACAACAAGAGTCGCGTTAACAAACTCATTCAAACAGACAGGCGCCTAAACATTTCAAAGTCGACTGTCCATAGGATAGTGTTTGATGAGCTGCACTATCGAAAGGTCTCTGCTCGATTGGTCCTAAAAGAGCTGACAGCTGACCACAAGACGCAACGTGTTGAAGTGTCTCAGACTTTGTTGAATCGTTGTCGCCAAGCTGTCACGGGAGTCATGAACGCATCTAGAGACCTCCAACAATACGATGAAGCATTCCTGGGAAGCATTAGTACAGGTGATGAGACTTGGATACACCACACGACTCCTGAGAGACGAAGAGGGATTCAGTGGTTTGGAAGCATACGTCTTCACCTCCCCTGAAAAAGTTTAAAGTTCATCCATCTGTGAAAAAACTCATAGCCACGGTTTTCTGGGGTGCTAAGGGTGTTCTGCTTTTTGACATTCTGGAACCAGGACAAATGTTAATGCTTACAGACACTGCCAGACTCTTGATAAGTTGAGAGAGGTTGTGCTTAGAAAAACACCCGGCCGGTTGTCCGGCGGGGTCATTTTGCAGCATGACAACGCAACGCCATACACCGCAAACCTACGAAAGACCGGATCCAAAAGTTCGGCTGGGAAGTTCTGCCACACACCCCTCATAGTCCTGACGTGGCCCAGTCAGATTATCACCTTTTTGGACCAATGAAACGCCATATTTCTGGACAGCGATTCACGGACGACGAAGACCTCGTGGAAGCCGTGAAAGATTGGTTGACATCCCTTGACATAAAATTCTTCAGGGAGGGTATCATCTCCCTGATCCCGCAATGGGAAAAATGCGTCCAGCGAGATGGTGATTACTTTGAGAAATAAAGCACATGTTGATATATGTGTTACATTTTTATTATAATAGGACAAAGATTGTTGCTTTTATGGACCTTTTCCGGTTTTCCGTGGGACAGCCCTTAGTATGTAAAAGATGTAGGCTATATCTTTAAACAATTTTAAAAATTTTGAGTGGAATACATCTTTTCTTCTGATTTGTTAAAAATGTATGTGTATTCTGTGATGTTTTCTTCAGAAGAAAAGAAGGCAAATTTCTCCAAAGACTGGATTCAGCAATGTGAAAAGCTGAGGCAGCTAGCGGAGAAAGACCCACGGGGGGCCCTGGAGGGTTTCCGCAGGCTGGTGGAAGGAACAAAACGAGCTGAGAAACCTGTGGTCACCGGGACTATGAAAGACTTTAAGGTGAGGGGGCTTTTTTTTCTTTTTTTAGAAATAAATTATAGGTGATTTTTAACACCTTCATTGACACAATTTAAATCTTTTAGGAGGCAGTCTTGGGGCCCTGTCTGTCAGGGCTAACCCAAGAAGGATACAATTCCAGCAGAAAGATCTAGATATTCTATGAAATTTCTCCCCACTCAGGAATCGAACTTGTTTTTTCTGGGTGCAACAGGGAAATGCCTTACCTCTACACCACCAATGTCATGCTCATACTGTGCCGGAACAACATAGTATCAACATAGGGGGAACTGCTGCTTTCTCTTTCCTCATCCTTATTATTGTCATTTTCCTCTACTTCTTTTGTATGTTTGTCACTCTCTTGTGAACTGCTATTTTGGGAGTGACTTTATAGTCAAAGCCGACTTTGTGCTGTTGAGGATTCCCAGTTTGGACTTCTCTGATGATATCCATCCCTTGGCACTCCTATGACCTTTATGCAGTTGCGAGTGCCGTAAAACCTTATTACTGAAACAAACAAAACAAGAAACTACAGTCGAAATTGTTTAAGAAGGCCACCATTTGTCGAAGGGAAAAGTGTGTCTTAGACAGCTGGGCATCTTAGACAGTGCCATTGTAATAGGCCATTCCTTGAAAAGTGGACACTTCAAGGTGTGCAGGATCTCATTTGACAAATGCTTTTTTTGTTGTTGTTGTTTGTTTTTTTCCCTGCCCATTTCTATCAACTGGCACTTTGGTGTTAAGTAGAAACAACAACAGAAAAAAATGTGCAGCATTTTGGATTTCAAAATTAAGTGTTTGAATAAGTGGAAATCCATAAGAGAAATGTAATACATATATATATATATATATATATATATTTAAATATCTAATTAAAACGCTCAATTTTAAAATCCAAAATGCTGCACATTTTTTGCTGTTTTATATATTTTTTTTTTATATATAGGGGTGTATGAACTTTTGAAATATGTAAAGTTTGGTTTGAAAGTATGATCATAAAGTGAGAGTAATTGAAATTAAATGCATATCTTGTGTACACAGAATTTCAAAATAACCAAATGATATGTTTAGCAAGTTCACAATTTATTTTTTTTTTGAATTTTAAAAAATATTTTTATCTCCAGAGACAAATGAAAATCCCAGTTCTGAGCGAAGATCCCGCGCCTGTGTCGAAAAAGGGAAGTCCTAGTGAGGAGGCTAAATCAGCAGCAGGAAAAGAGAGGGCAAAGGAAAAGAAGACGGTGGAGAAAAAAGCCTCTGGACCAACTCAAGACAATTATGACGAAGTGGAGATGGACATTGTCAGTGAAGCGGAAGACGAAGGTAACCGGTGATTCTAATTTTGAATGAATAAATTTCACAAAATTAATAGCTGTCGTCTGTAAATAAAAGTTTGATCTGATGTACAGTTTCAAAGGGCATGAGTATTCATGTATGGTGAAAATATCAGATATAATTTTTCATCTTGCACTTGTTTTTTTGGGGGGATTGTTTTTTTATTTTTTGGGGTGTTGGGGGGAGGTAGTATTAATTTTTTTTCACTTTGTGAATGTTTTGTACCGTCCGAAGTGATGCATTAAGTAGTTTTTGTATTGTAGGAATTTAGGGTTCATAGAGTGCGCTTAAATTGCCCACTTGATCCGGCATTACGTCGCCTTTGTGATAAGACCGGCTTACCCACAAAATATATAATATATATCGTTTTTAATGTATATATTTGACGAATCGATAGTAAAATATCTGTTTGACATGTTCAGTCAAACACAGGTCTGAATTTTGACAAGAAATGCCCTAGACTCTACAAAACTGAACAACATGCCAGCCAGCCACAAGGTTGCTGCTTTTTTTAATCAAATATTTTTTTATTTTTTTTTGCTTCTGTAAAAAATTTTCTCACCGGGGCTAGCCGGTCTTATGACAAGGGTGATGGTATGAAAAGTATGAACTGATGTTGTGGAAATTTGTCGTGAGTTCATAAACTCATGATGTGTCCTTTTTCCCTCCCTAGAATCGAGCAGTGCAAGTCAGTTAGCATCTGCGAGTCTCCGTCTTGGGGCCGATTTTTCCCAGGCCATGCAGCCAATACAGTCCTTGGTAAGCATTTTGTTTTTTTAGATTTAGATTTAGTGACAGTTTTATGGCACTTGCAACACAAATAGGTCGTATAACATATGTGCTGAAAATTACAGGTGTTACTAGAGAGTAACATGCAGAGAAAAGAAGGAGGAGAGATGAGGAGGATATATTTTTCATCTTTATAGCTCAGACAAATTTTAGGTAAATACACGCACGCACACATGTATACAGGCACACACGTACACACACAAACACACATACACACGCACACACACACATCGAAGCAAACTCACATCTGCCTGAAGTTATAGAACTTCTCTCTGAAATGATGTATTGAACAAATCTAAATATATCTCACAGTCTGTCCATTTCCGATCTTTGAAATATCAGCAAATTGACTATGGCTGTGGCAGCCATGATATCTTCGTATGTCTAATCCACTTGTCTTTTTTTTGGTTCCATTTGACACAGAGTGAGGCCCAGGATACATCAGCGGCTGTGAAGGAAGCTACGATAGCTCCCCTCCCCGCCCCACCCATGATCCCCATGTTCCTGCCCATGCCCGTCTCTGCCACAGCCAGTCCCATGGTGCCAAACTACCCCCACCTCGAGGCCCCTCTTCCATCCTCAGTCCCACTGCCCCCGCCACATCCTCCTCCTTCCCAGCCCCCTCCTCCTCCTCCTCCTCCTCTTCCTCCTCCTCCTCTTCCACCCTTGCCCTCTCGGAATGGAGAGCCAAATGGCGTTTGGCTCAGTCAGAACCACAGTGAGAGTGGCCCGAGGGCCGGAGAGCCGTCTGTTGGAGCCGCAGCCTTTGCTGGCAAAGATCATCCAACTTCCTCACTCCCGGGGAAAAGTTTTAGTGACGACTTGTCTTTGGCAATGTTTCTACCCGAAAGACCCAGTCACACAAAGCTGTCCAGTGACGATGTCCAAGTTTTGTCGGGTGACCTGTTTTTGCAAAGGTCAAAGTCTTCGTATTCTGGTGCCGATATTGGGTTTCAGCTTCGCCAGCTGAGGAAAGAGCAAGAAAAGTACGATGTCAATACAGCAGCCCCTGTGGAGCCGAGCAAGTGTTCTGACGCGGATGAAAGTAGCCTGTATCCCAATAGGAGGGAGAGGATCATGGATCTGAAAAGAACCATAGTTCGTTCTGACCCCTCAGCGGCAGGCTTTTCTGAAACTGAGCTCTTTTATTCCACAACTCGAAAAAATACAGCACCGAGAAGAAGCAAATGGGATCATCCTGCTCCAAGATTTCTTGGATCTCCGATACACCAAGAGGATGTAGACGGATACGAACCACAGAGCAGCAGGAGGCTCATTTCCCCTGAGCCTGTTGGGACCAGAAGTAATTGGATTTCTGTTTTTCACAGCCACCCATCTCCTGGACCTCTTCATGACATGGACAGATTTGTGCCAGAGACAAGTAGAAGGTACATTTCCCCCAGGCGGTCCAATTCCCCTCCACACCGGGACAGCTCAGTGACAGGAAGCAAGTGGGCTCCTCTTCCCAAGAGCCGTGGGTCTCCTGGGCGTCTGCATGAGTTCAACAACTATGTATCCGAAAGAAGTGGAGACAGCATGTCCCCCGATCTCTCCGAGTCCGGCACAACGGGTCAAAGGACTGGGTATGGGCTGGCAGAACCCACCTTTAAAGCCTTAGAAGATTCCAGACCATTCTTAAAAAGACGGAGACCGATTCAGCAGCACTGGATGAAGGATGAACCTCTCCATGCCTCGAGGTATAGCCCAACTACTGAACTTGACACCTTCAAACCAGGCAATACCAAAGAATACACCAGTCAACGGCAGTCGTATAGTCCGGAACCGAAATATCGCCGGAGATCGGACAGCTTTTCAAAGTCGCCAGGGCTCATCCCCTACCAAAGGGTCCAGCAAGAAGATTTGACCAACGCGTATCAACCGGAGCTCCCCGCTCGCGGTGTGTCCAGACATAGCACACCCCCACCGTACATTCCCACTTCCATCAAGCCTCCCGGGATGGTACCAGCACCAGGGAGGGAAAAGTCGTCTTCTGACTCGGAGTCAGATGAAGATCCTGATGCCATGAGGAAAAGGTTGCTGATGGAGGTCATTACTAAAAGAAGAGGTGTCTTAAACGAGGTGGGTGCTATTTACGCTCGCATTTTGTTTGTAAGTATTGTCATTATTTTCCTGTTTGTTTAGTTTTTTTAGGTTTTTTAAATTTGTTTTTTGTTTTTTTGTGTCGTTCATGATGATTTCCTGTTCAACATCAATTTTCCTTTCCTTTTATTTATTTTACAGCTCTGACTATATGTGTGAATTCCTGTTTTATGTGTCTCAGATTCAGCATACACAAGGGTGGAGAATAGATTTTAGTTGTTTCCAAATTTGTGTGGTGGGTAACATCAATCTGCTGCTGCTTTTTTTTTTAGTTCCACTTAGTATTGCTAGCACTTTGGGTCAGTAGCAAAGCTTTTCTGGTTCTAGTCCAACTAGCAGTCAGCTGATGTTGAGACAGAAAATATATTTTTTGTTTTTAGTAAGGTTTTACGACGCTCGCAACTACATAAGTCATATGAGCACCAAGGGGTGGATGGCAACAGAGAAGTCCAAACGGAGAATCAGGCTTACTCTGCTCACCCCTCTAGCCTCAACAGCACAAAGTCTGCTTTTTCTACCAAGGCACCACCGAAATAGCAGTTCACAAGAGAGTAACAAGCATACAAAAGAAGTAGAGGCAATATGATGATAGTAAGGATGAGGAAAGAAAAAGCAGCAGTTCCCCCTATGTTGTTCCGGCACAGTATGAGCATGACATTGATAGGTCAGCCCATTTACAATTCTACTGTGCATAAGAACATGTTAATATCCCCCCTTTGGGAATGGCCTAAAGACAATTCAGTTAGTAGCACTTCCCTGGGGGGGGGGGGGGGGGGGGTAAAGAAAATATCTTGTAGTAGTCTTGTGAAATCTTTGTTGTTGTATGTGCGGCCTTTCTTGGGAAGTTTCACACCGGACACAGATGATTGGAGGGTGCCACTGGTCGGTCCTACTTCTTTACTTTCCCTCTGTTGTTTCTGTTTGTCTGTCTGTCTTACTTTTTGCCAGCACTACATGACCATTGTTGTGTCGATATGCTTCTCTGTACTCAAACAAACAAACAAACTACATGACCATTACTGTGTCGATGTGCTGTTTGTTACATGGTGTGACTGGGTACCTGGGTAAACACATTGAAAGATCTTGACCGGTTCAAACCCACTACATTTCGGTTGTGAGCCCTTAAGATAAGAGGAATAGAGCAGTGTATCATCATGGATGGGATAGGAAAACTAAAAATGTAGCGAGGAAAGTTGAATTAGATGAAGATTCAATTTGTAGGTAGTCAAGTCCACTCTATCTGAACATAGTGACTCTGAAAAGTGGTAAACCCAAAAAAGACAGAATCCTCAATTTTTAAAAAAATGTTTCACTCTTTAAACAGTCTCTCTAAATCGAAACCAAGGCTAAATCGATAAAAATCCAGTTGTTTAACTGATTGCAGTTTAAGTGCATCCTTGTATATAATGTACACCTTTTCTTGTAATGATTTTATTTCTCTACAGATTATGTCCAGCTCCAGTTCTCCCTCTGTGATGTCGCCCCAACAAGATGCTGGTTTGTCTGAGGCTGCGGAGGAGAGAAATGAAGCAGGTTCCACAGAACCACCTCTGGTAACTGTGGCCACCGAATTTCCTTCTCTTCAGAGGAGAAGTCCGTCGAGTTTCATGGCATCTCCTGGCTCTCAGGACGTGAGGGAGAGTGGTGAGTTGCCGACAGATGGTCGTGAGGAGAGTTCTAGTTTACACGTTCTTCACAAAGTGGTAAAACCCGTTGCCTCGGAGTCAGACCAGAATGATGCAGTCGGTGACACATTTGTTGGATCAGTTATGAACTCTGGTTTGAAGCAGACGTCCTCTGACTCTGAAGATGAAGAAGAAGTTTTACCTCCGCCGGTTGTGAAAAGAATTGAGAGGTCCCCGACCCATGCTCAGGGTGCGGCTGGGGAGAATTCTCCCGCTGGTAGTAGCCCCAGAACCAAGAGCGTTGCGACGACGTCTACACATCAGCATTACGACGCTGCTGCAGATGCCCTAAGTGTGATATCAAATCCTGTAGAAACAGCCTCAGATACGTTGAATGGTGCTCAGACAGTGCCAAACTTTAGTTCAGAAATAATGAACTTCCAAACTGTGTGGCCTGATCAGTCAGAGGTCATAGCAAGGCCTTCGTCTGACATGCCTACTTTGTCTTCCAATGCAAGTGCTTCCTGTGAACAATACACCACCGCACCAGAGCTTTCTGGTAACCAAACGTTGACAACCGTGAAGAAGTGTGATTTTCTTCCAGGACAGTCGACGTGGGATCCAGCAAACGCCAACAGTATTCCACACTTTCCACACGGCAGTCTTTCCTCGCAGTCTGGTGTCAGACCAGAAAGTTCAGCTAGATATGAGCAAGGTCTCAACTCGTCATCCAGTGCCAACTCCACCCAGTCCCCCGCCTGTCTTCCCACTCAGTCACTGTCTGATAGCTCACACACTGTGCCTAAGAAATCTCCGGATCATTCTTCATTGTTTCAGTCGGAACCTTTGTCGTCCATGACGTCTGATGGTTTCGTTGTCTCTCCAGCAGTGGTTTCCGAACAGCCTTCTGGTGTCAATAGCCTCAGGGCGTATCCTGATCCCAGGAACAGCTCCGGGGCTAGGCAAGCGGTGCTGGAAGAGCCTTCTCTACCGATGTCGCAGCATTTGTCAACAGTGGTAGATCAGGTCCCTCCAGAGATAGCCTCCCAGCCTGATTCCTGTGGTCAGACGAGTGTCACAACGTCCAAGTTCTCTCATGGATACCTTTACAGCACAAGTGGACCCAGCAACAGTGCCGGGAAACACTCCTACCCTGCGAAACCTGTGAGTGTGCTGTTTTTGTCGTTTTAAGGTGGTTATTTTCGGCAGGGGGGATTGCTGGAGAATTATTTCTGTTTATTTACGCGATCCATCACGTCTAAATGCAAGTGGGTGATTGACTGGTGCTTTGGTGTGATTTGTTCTTTCTCTTCTATCAATGATCCATTTTCCTTATCTCTCCTCCTCCTTTTCTTTGTATGTTACTCTCTAGTAACACATCCAGTCTTCAGCACTTATATGACATGTTTGTGTTGAAAGTGCCATCAAACTCAAAACTAAATCTAAAAACTCTTGAGAGAAAACTCTTTTGAAGTTTTAGAGATTGATTCCATCGTTTCTTCTAAGATGCCTTGAAATAGATTTAAGATATTCGCAAATTTAAGTTTGGAAGCCTATGCCACACCATGTGTCCATGTGCTTCTAGATAGTTACTCAAACAAAAAAAACAGTCTGTCATACTTTTCCCCTGCACTATATAGCTCTTTTCGTCTATGCAGACGGTCAATCTAGTTTAAGATGGTCTCAAGGGTGTCTTTATGCAGCTTCTTTCATGGCTAATTCTTCCTATGTTTGAAGCGCAGATTCTGTCGCAGTGCATGCATGTCAGTGAGGTGGATGGAAGCTCTGTATTTCTACTGTTTTTCTTTCGTCCTTGACACTTCTCAGCTTGGTTGTTTGTGAGGCTGCTCTTTAACATAAAAATTCTTTCTTAATCATTCTTTTCCATGTTTTCCTGTCCCTTGCACTAAATAACCATTAATGTGTCGATGCCCATCTCTCTTTTCTCAAACAACTGTCTGTCTGTCTGTCCGACAATTCCCTTACACTATAATTATTTGGCTATATGACATGTGTGATGCACTCCTCTTTACTCTAACAAACAAATTGTCCTTCTTTCTGTCGTTCCCGTGATAGATGTGTTGTATCACCAGTAATGTGTTGATGTGCTTCTTTTTACTCAAAGCGGGTGGTTGACGGGTGCTCTGGTGTGGTTTGCTGCTTCTTTCCCATCAAACATCTATCGCCCTTATCTCTCCTCCTCCTTATATATGTTATTTTCTAGTAACACCCCTAATCTTCAACACTTATGTGACCTAATTATCATTCTTAATATTATTTTGAAAATGTTGTGAAACACTTACAAAAATTTCTCCCAACAACCCAGCTCCCGGTGCACCCGCCTGTTGTGGTCCCCATGGACTGCTCCTCGGCCAGCGAGGACGATCACGAGGACATGCACGGCAGCAAACCTGGCAGTGGGGCAGACAGTTGGCTCATGGTTTGTGTCGCTCGTCTTATTGTCATTGTCACTTGTGGGTGGCTGGAGGGTGCTCTGGTGTGGTTTGCTCCTTCTTTCCCGTCAAATATCTATCGTCCTTATCTCCCCTTCTTCTTTTTTATGTTTGTTGCTCTCTTGTTACACCTCTAACCTTCGGCACTTAGTAGGTGGTTGGTGGGTGCTCTGGTGTGGTTTGCTTCTTCTTTCCTATCAAACATCTATCGTCCTTTCTCCCCTTCTTCTTTTTTATGTTTGTTACTCTCTTGTAACACCTCTAATCTTTTGGCGGTCATATGACCTTATGCAGTTGCGAGTGCCGTAAAACCTCTACTAAAACTAACTTTGGCACTTACATGACCTTATTGTGTTGCAAGTGCCGTAATATTCTTACTAAACTAATACAATACTCCTTTGAAAGAGATACAGATCATTTGAAGAAAAAAGTGGGTGGTTGACGGGTGCTCTGGTGTGGTTTGCTTCTTCTTTCCTATCGAACATCTATCGTCCTTTTCTCCCGTTCTTCTTTTTTATGTTTGTTACTCTCTTGTAACTCCTCTAATCTTCTGGCGCTCATTAGTGGCGGGCGGATTTTCTACTTGGTTTTGGGATTTGCTGGTACTTAGTGTGAGGGAGACTACCCAAAACCTGGAACCCCAAATCCCAAATCATTGAAAAGTACGAAACAAAACAAAGTTTTGAAATAAATGCAGGCTTAATTTCTAAACTGAAATATCTCAAAATAATATTCAAATACTACAAAACCTTGTATGCGATAAGTAAACTGGTCCCTCAAAAAATGTGCCAGTAAATCGACTAAAAATTGATCACACGGACTTGTTTCCCCTTCATCTGCGACATTGGAATAAGCTGGAATCAATTTACGACGCAAGGACGAGTCCATTGTACTATCTAAAGGGGGGACACTCCTACTCACTTGGCTGGTAACTGGTACTGGGATTTGGGATTTGCTCTGCGCACCCACTACTTGCTCCAGAGCAGTTACCCAGGCCTAGGCCTAGTCACCTCTCACTCTCCCACTTCCAACTACCAGTACGAAAGTAAATCTTAAATCTACGACTGGGGCGCTTGTGACGACAGGCTCATGACGTGATGTTGTTTGTATCGCTTTCGCTTCGGCTGGTGGGGGGGAAACTAGATGAAGAAAGGGTGTTTGAAAAGTTTGAAAGCAGCTGTCTAGTGTCTAAACCACGTGTGTTTGTCTATGCCCTGCACTGTGGTGTCATGCCAGTGCCTCGCTTCTGTTTGTTTTTGTTCTTCTTGTCCTCTGGGACTAGATCATTGTTCTTAACAAAAACACACGTTTAGGAATATTTTAAATTGTTTTCTTAGCCCCATTTCCCCAGGAAACAAACTCCCTAATTCCTTCAACCCAAAAGAGGGAAATTATGTATGTAGGCCTAAACAAGTTTTATTCAATAAACTACAATGTAGTATTAGATGACCCAAGCTGCATCATTATAAAAAGCACCCGCCTAAAAATCTTCACGCGACTACTCTAATTCAAATAAGAACGAATTTATTAGATCTAGATCTAAATCTAAATCTAGGCATCCGGAAGATCAAGACTAGGCTAGTCTACAAACTACAACATAACCAAGCCCAGGGCCCAGAGCCCAGGCACCCTCCCCCTCTTCTCCACCCACCCCCCCCCCCCCCCCCAGTGAACCAGCCCTCAAGTTGTGATAGGCCAATTAATTCCAATTCCAAAACCCGCACTGTTGTAGGTCTAGGCTAGTTCTAATGTCGCACATCCGCCCGCATAATGCACAGCCGCGCAGCGCGCAACAGGATTTCGTCTGCTAGGCCTAGGCCTACTGGTAACTGGTAGTGGTACTGGATTTGCTCTGCTACTTGGTTTTGCTCTGGTACTTGGTTTTGCTCCTGCTACTCAACGCAGCGCAGCGGACTCAAGAAGGGGAGTATACTCTCTACTCATGAGTCCCAGGATTTGGGTTTGGTACTGGATTTGGGAGTTTCTACTGGATTTGGTACTGGGATTTGCTGTTACTCATTTCCGGCAAATTTGCCCACCACTAGCGCTCATATGACCTTATGCAGTTTCGAGGGCAGTAAAACCTCTACTAAAACTAAACTGAAATTAAAAAAAGGTTGTAATTCTGTGAATGGACAATGCAGAAATATTCTTCTTTCTTTTCCATTCCGAATGTGGCCTTCCACCAATGAAATGTGGCTCGTTGCATGTAGGGTTTTTAATTAGTTTTAGTAGAGGTTTTTAAGGCGCTCGCAACTGCATGAGGTCGTATGAGTGCCTGCTTGTAGGGCTTAGCTGTGTTTTTGCTGCATGAGCATTACATTCTAAAGAATTAATCTTTTGTTGTACTGTCTTATAGCCGGTGTGTATCTAAACAACTTAGAAAAATTGGTAAATCGTGGGCAGTTTGAGGGCCCTCTGGTAGGGCTGAATTCTGCTCGGTTAATCGAAGGCTTGTAAAGCAGCGGCAGTCTTGCGCTAGAGTCTTGCGAGCAGGCTTGTGGTTTGATTTGCCTCCCGCTTGCTACCGGAGGGAACTTCCGGTGAGTTGTGACTCGCGGACAGTCCTGCTGTACTGTGCCGTGACGTCGCGAACTCTCGTGGCAGTGGGCTCAGTACATATTATAGATTCTCTGGTTATTTGCGTTGAGAGGCTTGCACCAAAAGTGCAAGATCGGTTGGGGGGGTTTTTTCATAGTTCAGTTGTAAAAAACAAAAAGCTCTATTCAATGCACTTAAAAATTAATATTGGATTGGCTATTCTTATGATGTTAAGGCCTGTTTATTTTTAATGTGCACGAGCCAAGCGCTTCATCGTCGCACGCAAAAGACCTCAGTTCGATTCCCGTATGGGGAGAAATTTTTACTGAGAACCTCCGTTTTTCTGCTGGGGCGTTGTTCCCTCTCAGCCCAGGTTGGCCCTGACATTGGGTTGAAGTAGGCCTAGCCCGTCTCCTAAATGTTCTGTATTATGTCTCTGTGAGTGTAACACATCTACAAAATAGGTTACATACATACGATACAAAAGCCAATCATAACGACCCCTGGAGTTTTCCATTTTAGGGTAATCTAAGTCAACTTATTCTTATTACTACCAGAAACCTAGGTCTCTGTTTCTACAATACCACGCTCCCTCTCACTTATCCATTCGCTTAGCTGATCAACGGCGGGAAGTTAAAAATAACTTCAGCTCTCTACGCCTTGCACCAAAACAAGCCCAGCCTCTCCCTTCCTCCACGGTTCAAAGTTCACACAGCGAACAGTACTGTCTTGCTGTTTGAACACATCGGACTGTCTTGTCGCCATCAAGACGGTCCTACGCCATCGAGCCCATGCCGCTCGCTCGGTGTATCGAGACAGTACAAGTCAGCTGGTCAGGTTTGGAGTTTGTCCTGGGGCAAATCTCTAAGCCTAGCGCAAATCAGTACTGTGTGAATTGTGGGGCCTGTGGCAGCGGACGGGACTTGAGGCTTGCGCAGGCCTTCGATTAATCGAGTAAACTACAGCGCCACGCCGCGCAGTGACTCTGTGGGCGAGATATCTCACTCTCCCCCTCTCTCTTTTTCTGACGTAAGTGGCTTCGCGGATTGCAAGCAGGGTGGGGATGATGAGGGGGCCTGACACGAGTGGCTTCGCGGATTGCTAGTTGCTGTGGACTTGAAGTTTAGACTAGACCAAGGAGGCTACAGTTTGGCTAGACTCAACTTATCATGCTGGTGATTTGATTTGATGATTTGACCTAGTGATTTGAGGCTTGTGACTTGAACTAGGGGCTTGTGAGCACGAGCGGGTTTGCTACCGGGGTACAGCCCTACCCTCTGGTGTGATTTTGTCCTTTATTCTGTGAAACATCTCTCATCCTTATCTCTCCTCCTTCTTTTCTCTATAAGTTGCTCTCTAGATTTTACTCCCTTTAATTTTCTACAGTCATTTGACCTGTTTGTGTTGCTAGTGCCTCAAAACTCTTACTGAAACCAAACTTGCGAAAGTGGGTGGTTGGCGGGTGCTCTGGTGTGGTTTGCTCCTTCTTTCCTGTCAAACATCTACCATCCTTGTCTCCCCTCCTTCTTTTTTGTGTTTGTTACTCTCTTGTAACACCTCTAATATTCGGCACTATTTGACCTTATTGTGTTACAAGTACCGTAAAACTCTTACTAAAACAAAAGTCTCTCTGTCCTAACAGGAGGATGAAGACATTAGCAAACTGGACCCTCAGATGGTGGAACTGAAAAGGCGAGAGTTTAAGTTAAAACATCAGAAGTAAGTTTTGTCTTGTAAGAGAGTGTTGTCTTGTACGAGAGTTTAAAGTTAAAACGTCAGAAGTAAGTTATTTCTTGTACAAGAATGCAGAATCCTGTTGTCATAATTGATAAATATGTGTCATAGCAGTTCAGTTCATCTCATGCTTCTGCCAACTTATCCAGGTGTAGGGGACATTGTTTAGTTTTTATGACTGTCTTCATTGGTAGACCGTGAAGTATTGTTTTGTTAACCTTTTATCTTGGTTGCTCTGTTTAATTGTATGTTACTCTCTAGTAACACTTTTAATCATCAGCTTAATAGTGTTGCAAGTGTCGTATAAAACTCTTTAACTGTGACCGATACAAACAATGGAATGAACCACCCAACAGGAGTATGGTGCAGAGAGGGCATGAGGCGCTGAGAGAGCTGGTGCAGAAAGCCATGAGGTCCCTCCAATGTGACCTAATTGTGTTGCAAGTGCCGTTAAACTCTTACTTAAAAAAAACTAAAAGATCCGTCATCCTTATCTCTCCTCCTGCTTCTTCTTTTTCTATGTTTCTCCCTATTAACACTTCTAATCTTCAGCCTAATGGTGTTGCAAAAGTGCTGTAAAAAACTCTTTATTTGCAAAACAATAACAAACAAAGGAATGAATGAATCTACGAATGGGTGGTTGGCGGGTGCTCTGGTGTGGTTAACTCCTTCTTTCCTATCGAACATCTATCATCCTGATCTCTCCTCCTTTTTCATGTTTGTTACTCTCTTGTATCACCTCTAATCTTCGGCACTTATATGACCTGATTGTGTTGCAAGTGCCGTTAAACTCTTACTAAAACATGAACCAACCGCCAGGGGTGTGGTGCAGAGAGGGCAGGAGGCGCTGAGAGAGCTGGTGCAGAAAGCCACGCGGTCCCTCAAGCTGCAGCATCAGGCGGAGAAGAAGTGGGAGAAACTTCGCTTGCAGATCATTCTTCTGTCGGAGCAGGCGCGGGTGGCCAAGAAGATTGCCAGGGCGCATGAGCAGCAGAAAGAGGAGACCAAGAAGAAGGTGGGTCGGTGGGTGGCTGATATGACCCGTTTCTGTCTCTTTTTTTCTTTAAGTCCACTTTTTGTAATCACTTGTTGTGTGTATGAGCAGCAGAAAGAGGAGACCAAGAAGAAGGTGGGTCGGTGGGTGGGTGGTATGACCCGTTTCTGTCTCTTTTTTTCTTTAAGTCCACTTTTTGTAATCACTTGTTGTGTGTATGAGCAGCAGAAAGAAGAGACGAGGAAGAAGGTGGGTGGCTGATATGACCCGTTTCTGTCTTTTTTTTCTTTAAGTCCACTTTTTGTAATCACTTGTTGTGTGTATGAGCAGCAGAAAGAAGAGACGAAGAAGAAGGTGGGTGGCTGATATGACCCGTTTCTGTCTTTTTTTTCTGAACCCTTTGACTTTGAGCCCTCGCCACTGGTACACGAGCAGTTAGTAAAACTGCGCGTACGCCTAGCCACCGGTACTGCGGTGAGCAAGACCCCATCCCCAAACCAGCCCGCCTGGGACATAACGTGTGCGGGAAATTGTGTTTACTACACAGGACGTTATTGATTATTTTAAATATCTTTCTGAATTAGAAGCTTACCATCATCAATAAATTATTTATTGAGGCACCAGTCATCCATGTCCAGGTGCTGTTTTAGCCTAATTAGAAGCTGGTAATAACGAGGATTACCCTGGGTGGGATATGAAATGTGATTCTGGCGATCATATGGATGTTAGTAATATATTGCTCCTGAGCTCAGGCAGAGGGGCATGGTAGCCTCAGAAGGTCAGGGCTCAAAGGGTTAAAGTCCACTATTTATAAAGGCTTGTGGACATGGGCTGCTAAAAGAAGAGCGGGAAAAAGAAGTAGGGTGGGTGATGAGAGAGGTGTCTGTCTTTTCTTTAAGCTAGGCCCACTTTTTATTATGACTTGTATGTGTGAGCTGCTGAAAGAGAAAACAAAGAAAAAAGTAGGTGAGTGATATGAGCTGTTTCTTTCTTCTTTTCTTTAAGTTCACTTTTGTAATGAGTTGTGCTTATGAGCTGTAAAAAGAGCAGAAGAGGAAGAAGTTGGGTAAGTGGTATGTGTAGTTTCTAGGTTATTTTTTTTCCAAAAGTCCACTTTTTGTAATGATTTGTTGGAATAGGCTACTGAAAAAGGAGACAAAGAAGAAGCACGGTGAGTGATATGAGTAGTTTCAGTCTTTTTTTCTTTCTAAAAGCCCACTTTTTATTATGTTTTTTCAGTATGAACTGCTGAAAGAGGAGACAAAGAAGAAGGTTGAATCCCAGACAGGGCATTCTTGAACTTCAGTCATTTTTTTTCAAGTTTTCAAGGCTCCCAACTCTTTTTGGCTTTGTTTCATATCAACAATTATCACCCTCTTTCTCCTCCTTCTTTCTCCTTCTTCTTTCTCCTCCTTCTTTCTCCTTCTTTCTCCTCCTTCTTTCTCCTCCTTCTTGTCTTATGTTGCTCTCCAGCAACACCTCTTATCTTCTACACCAACATGACCTGTTTGTGTAGCGATTGTTTTAAAATTGTGACTAAATAAAACTAAACTAAGACTTTCCCTCTGTTTTCTGTCTCATTCTTTCACAGCACTTTAGGACTCCTGCTGTGACTACACGCCTCTCTACACTCAAACCAAATTATTTGGAAATATTAATTCCTTTGTGTCTTTCATCAGGCTTGGAGTGTGAAAGACAGACTGCTGAAGCAGAAGGAGGAATACGCTGAGACGGAAAAAGCCACTGTCGTCCTTGGCAAGGAGTTGATTGGTCCTGAATATCAAGTACAGCTTGCTCAGATTGTTGTGAGTAGTATTCTGTTGTCTCATAGAGGGAGAGGAGCTGATTTTCCAGGGATAAATGCGGAAAAGCCGTAGTTCTAAAAATGTTCCAGATTTTGCCCGACATATTGATACAAGATTTAATATACCGGGTGCCAATTGCAAATGGGATCGAGTTGGGTCAAATGGGGGGGGGGGGGGGGGGATTGCCCGCCTCGACGCCTGAAAACAAATGTGTTTGTTTTTTAGCGTTTGTTTTCGAGGTGGCGAGTTGGGTGCGTTCGGCTTGTGCCACGATAACCGTTTTGCCCCATCAATCTGGCAAGCAATCCGCCACAACCCAACCTGATCCCCCAATGGGCACCCCCTGTTAGATAATGTGATTTGTAAACTTTGAATCCCCACTAGGGTTTCCACGGAATCGAAAAAGTTATTCCTTAAGACTTGCATTTGTGTACCATATGATACAGTCTTACCTGCTCTGACAGCCACCTACAGTATACGACAATCACCTGTACAAACGGCCACTTCTCATTTCCCCTTTGTGTTTTTTTACATTATTTTGACACTGTTTAACTCTTTATTCAGGCGAGCCGCTCCCTCCCAGCGGCTCTCGGTCGGAACCCCTGTGCTGGTGAGTCGCTGGCAGCGGCTCGGGCAAAGAGTACTGAAAACAGGTCTCTCTTATGGGGATTTTATTCATTAGGTGAAGAACTATCAAAATAGGTTTGCCTGTTTTGATTTATTGACCAATTTAGTGACGATTTTGTCATTTTTAGATTTTGTACCAAAAACGGGCCCCCGCGATAGTAGGTTTACCTCCCTCGGAGATAAAGACTTAAGACAACCACTTTCCTCCTTGACGATGGATGGCGATCTTCAAGAAGTTTGATTGTACTTGACATTACTTCATTCTACAACTGCCATTAGTCCAATGTGTTTCTTTTCATTGTCGGCTTGATCTGTAATTAATTTCAAACAGACACCCAGTAAACGCATTTTCATGATCTTCCCGCGCCAACCATTGACTGTTTATCTCCGAGGGGGGTAAACCCACTATGCCATGGCCCTTTTTTGGTACTAAATCTAAAAATGACAAAATCGTCACTAAATTGGCCATTAAATCGAAACAAATGAACCTATTTTGATCGATCTCCATCTAATGAATGAAATCCCGATAAAAGAGACCTGTTTTCAGGAATTGCCGAAAAGTACTTTGATTTTGAGTCGTGGTAAAGGAATATGCCCGAGCCGCTGTGGATGGCTCACCAGCACTGTGGTTGTGACCGCGAGCCGCTGGGAGCGGCTTGCTATAGATAAAGAGTTAATGAAGGACTGTAGTTTGTTTACAATTTACTTTGTAAATTTTCATGTTTCCAAACTTTATTAAAGATTTAAACTTGTCCTGTGGCTGTTAAAATCCAACCTGAGCTTTTTTTTTTATATATCCTTCAGAACGCTTCAGACCAAAGACAGAAGTTCTCCAAGGCTCAGACGATTGCCAGCAAAAAACAGAAGCTCCAAGAGAGGGAGAGGCAGATCTCAGAGAAGCTACGGTTCATGAAGGAGCAGATCTTGAGCACCAGCAGTCTGAAGAGTGTCGCGAAGGCTTCGCTGTCAGTGAAAGAGCCCGAGAAGCCGCTGGCCCAGCGTCAAAAGTCGCAGGACGTGATCAAGCTCAACTCAAGTCAGCCAGACCAGGGCACGGCGGTGGTGAACCGTCGCAAGTCCCTCCTGGAGCTCAACAGCAGCACCATCCCCAACCTGCCTCTGACCCCGCATAAGCCGAAAGGGACGAGCCACTCAGAGAAGGAGAACATGGAGGGGGAGCAGGGTCAAGGAGGGGTCGGCATCGAGGACGGTTTGTCGGCCTCGAAGAGTGAGGAGGGCGTGAGCCAGCAGAACTTCCGGATGCCGGCCGGGGTCCAGCTGGTCAATCTGTGCAAGCTTCAGGTGAGGGCAATTTCTTTAGTTTTAATAAGGTTTTACGGCACTTGCGACACAATTAGGTCATATAAGTGCCGAAGATTAGAGGTGTTACAAGAGAGTAACAAACACAAAAAAGAAGGAGTGGAGATGACGAAGATAGATGTTTGATAGGAAAGAAGGAGCAACCACACCAGAGCACCCGCCAACTGCATAAGGTCATATGAGCGCCAAGGTATGGATGTCAACAGAAAAGTCCAAACAGGGACTCGGGCTTACTCTGCTCACCTCTCTAGCCTCGGCAGCACAATGTCTACTTCGACTATCAAGGCACCCCAGAAATAGCATGTCACAAGAGAGCGACAAACATGCAAAAGAAGTAAAGGGAAAGTGACCGTAGTAAGGATGAGGAAAGAAAAAGCAGCAGTTCCCTCTATGTTATTTCGGCACAGTATGAGCATGACATTGATAAATCAGCCCATTTACAATTTTACTGTGCATAAGAACATGTTAATATCCCCCCTTTGGGAATAGCCTAAAGACAACTTCAGTCAGTAGCACTGCCCTGGTGGGGTGGGACAACTTCTGAGCAGTTACAGGGAGGCAAAAAGCAACAACATGGGCTGATTCTGTGTTTGGGACACACTTGCCTTGTTTCACTGGGACACACTTGCCTTGTTTCACTGGGACACACTTGCCTTGTTTCACTGGGACACACTTGCCTTGTTTCACTGGGTATAACAAGAGAAGTAAGCAACTCCGTTGGCTGGCTCTTTCTCTTCTTTTTTTTTTGGTAAGTGTTTTACGGCGCTCGCACCTGCATAAGGTCATATGAGCGCGCGGGACTCACCTAATATTTTTCAGTTGGTAGGAAATTTTGAATTTTGCCCGGGTGGCGGCCGAAGCCTACTCTTATCGATTTTAGACCACCAAGGGATCTTTAACATGCGCAACTTGCACACGGGCCCTCCGAGATTTTTCGCCCTTGTCCGAGAAGGCTAGGTGTAGATCTTTCCTACCAGAAGATCAGGGGTGTGGCAGAAAGACAGCAGTAAGGAGGAGCCAAGGAGTAGCAGTAGAAAGGCTGCAGAAAGAGTCAGGAGCCCAGAGGAGAGGGCAAAGGAGTTAAGGGGGTGGGGGCAGAAAGTGGAAATGAAAGCAGACAACAGAACATTACTAGAGAGCAGGAAAGGAGGTGAAAAGAGACAATTTTAGAGAAGAAAATTTTTCGGTCGCTACCCAGATTCGAACCTGGGACCTTTGAATTAAAGGCTAACACCTTAACCTCTAGGCCATGAGAGCCCCCGCTCTTTCTCTACTTTGAACACAGCTGTATCACCCTGTATAACAAGAGGAACGCAGCTATAGCTATGTGTGTGAAATCTATAGTTTCACTTAATTTCAATCATAATTTAGCACACTTCTAGAAACATTCAGTGGTGTGCCTTCTTATTTGAATGCATGATGTACCCCCCCCTCAAACTCCAACCCACAAAACAAGGCGTAAATTTGTTTCTGTTTCAACTGTTCACAGAAAGAGAAAGTAGAGAAACAGCTGAGAGGACCAAGACATATGTTGTCTGCTACGTCATCTTACAAATTTCCAAGTCTTTCATCTCTGCGGGTAAGCTGTGCTTAATTTCTGTACTCACTGAGTCTGGAAGACAAATGGGCCTTAATCTCAGCGAGGTTTTTTCCTCTTTTTTTTTTTTTTCTTTTTTTTTAAAGCGAGCTGGGTACTAAAAAATTCTGTGATCACTACTTATTTTTTGGCTTTTCCTTATTAAGTTCAATACCGAAACCCGAGTCATCCCTTGTGAATCTACAAGTCTGGAAGAGAAACCCCTGCATGCCAAACTACTTTTGTCAGCCTCTACTCTTTGTTCAGTGCTTTGAGATTACAGAAATTCATGCCGTTGAGTATTTTCAATTTTTGGACTATTGTGAGAATTGTGTGTGATGTCTTCGTATGTGCCTGATTTTGAATAAATGTTTTCAGATGCGTTTTATCTCTCTCTCCAAACTCACTTTCAGTCGTCCATTGTGAAGAAGTCTCGTGTGGTTTCTTTAACGAAGCGAAGTTCGGCCCCAGACAGTACCTCTGTCCAGCCCAGCTGTCCAGTGAACTATACAAGTCCTCTACTGACCTTTAGGTCTTATAGGTCAGTAGCTTGAATTATGTGTCATCATTTTGATTTAAGGTGTCATCATTTTGATTTAAGGTGTTGTTGTTAAGATTTATCACTGTCTTTATGATTTAAGGTGTTTTCATTATGATATTATGATTTAAGGTGTTGTCATTATGATTTGAGGTGTTGTCATTTTGATATTATGATTTAAGGTGTTGTCATTGTGATTTAAGCTGCTGTCGTTATGATTTAAGGTGTCATCATTATGATTTATGGTGTCGTCATTATTATTTTAGCTGTTGTCATTACGATTGTCATCTTGAATGTGAGTCACAAAACTTTTTTCCAAGTGGACTTGATAGCTGAGAGAATGCGGAGCACGGGCCTGACAACTATTTCGTTCAATGTGTCACTTTAACTTGTGCAGAATCCCTCCACTCCTCCCACCCCGACTTTTCTTTTATTGCCACACTTTACGCTCGTGTATTGCAAATTCTCACTTCTCTCAAAAACTACTTTTCCATTCCATCTGCCCCGCTCTGTTTCCCTGTTGCCCCTTCTTTCTCCCCCTCACCCCCACCCCCCTCCCCTCCACTCCATGGGCAATACCAGTAGTAGGTTCTCCGTGGGGTGCCACTGGTAGGTCGTTCTTTTGTTTCCCTCTCTTGTCTATCTCTCTGTCTGTCTCTCTGTCTGTCTGTCCGTCTGACTTCAGCGCAGCAATGAATTACTGTTATTTTGCAGGCTCAAACACCTTCAGCTCCATAACGCCCCAACCCCACCCACCCGCACCTTCTTTCCTACCAAGCGTCTATCGTCCTGATCTCTCCTCCTTCTTTTTTGTGTTTGTTACTCTCTTTTAACCCCTCTAATCTTGGGTACTTATATGACCTTATTGTGTTGCAAATGCCGTAAAACTCTTACAAAAACTAAAAAACCACCTCAACACACACACATCGTCATTATCTCTCCTTTTATGTATACGTTACATTTCAGTAACACATCTAATCTTCAGCACTTATGAAACTTTTTTGCGTTGCAAGTGCCGTAAAAGTCATATTAAAACAAAACCCTTTCCCTGTTCCCCTCTGTGCCATCCCTGTGTGAACCACCCCAACAAACACACACACATCTTCCTTATCTCTCCTTCTTTTATGTATATGTTACTCTCTAGTAACACATCTAATCTTCAGCTTTTATGAAACTTTTTTGCATTGCAAGTGCCGTAAAAGTCATATTAAAACAAAGCCCTTTTCTTCCCCATTCCCCTCTGTGCCGTCCGTGTGTGCTGCCCTGTCCTCAGACTGAGTCCGTATTATCGCACGCGAGAAGGCCTGAGCTTCCGTAGCAATACGTACTCGCACAAGCTGAACCCTCACTGTGTGCTCTGTCCTTACGACATTCAGGGGATCTGTAACGACGACACCTGCAAGCAGTAAGTTGTCCTCATAGGTTCAGAGATGTTAGTCTTCTGTTTTCTGTTTATCTGTGTAATTTTCAAGAAGACCTGTAATTTCGCAATGGTTTTTTACATTTTTTTTGGTATATTCTGTTTATTTGTGTCGTCTGGTTACAATGTCCGACACTTTAATTTTTTTAAAAGTCAGTCTTTAAGGGGTTTTTTTTCTTTCTGTAGTCCAAAGAATTTATGCTGAAATCTGATGCAAACTTATAGATGGAATTTATGACAGCTTTTTGAAGTTAAAAAGTAAGAGCAGTTGTGTTTTGAGAAAACAAATGTAAAAGTGTTGGCAATGATTTCATGGCATACTACTGTCTTTCGAAAAGAGTATCAAAAACATCAAAAGAATTACTTAACTCATTCGGTGCTGAGTGCTCCAGCAGTGAACTGCCCTCCTATACTGGGCAGATTTGTTATGGCAACATGAAATTAGGATACCCAGGGAAATCAGTGAAAACTAGCAGGCTCAATGGCTGTTGGAGCAGAAAAAATGTCCCATTGACCTTTCCCATAATGCATCACGTTTAGTTCAAATGACTTGTTTAGGATTAGATAGAGTCATTCTTTCTATAAAGATAGCGAGGCAGAATGTGAGAATACTCGTCACCAGTACGTGGGCGGGGCCCAGGTTTTGCGAGTATTCTCGTCCGTAGCCCTGAATGAGTTAATTTTGGCTTTGTCAGTGAGAGCAAGGGCTAGAAAAGGGGGAGAGTGCTGTGGAAATATTTTTTGGTGATGGATGCCATTTTGACAATGTCTTCAATACGTCTGTTCAAGCGAAGATTTCTTTCCTTTCTTGTGCAGGCAACACCCTAAGGACTACGAGCTCTCGGACAAAGAGTTGCTGCAAGACATCGTGTCGTACTGTCCAAAGCTGGCAGGATGCGGAGAAGGAGCGAGCACAGAGGAGGTGAAACAAGCAATAGGTAAGATTTGCGGATTTGTGCAATGCCCTGTAGGGCCTATTTTGAGCTAGGGTTATTGTGTATTGTTCAAGAACTCACCCCTGTGACCACCAATCTAAACCCAGAGTCACCGACACTTGCTTGACTGTTGCGAAGTATCATGGTGAATTCAGGCGCTCGTCATAATAATGAAATCGAAGACATCGGCATTTTTCCTTTAGTTTGACAATTTTTTTTACTAATTTTTTTTTTTGGGGGGGGGGGGGGGGCTCAACACCTTTTATATCCATATAAAAACTCATTTCCATGTAAATTTGACTGAAAGTTTTAAAGGACACTCAAGTTATTAAAGTTATCAAACTTTTGACGGCCATTTTCTCACGAAGTTTTTCACTGAATACAGGCAATCCCACCTCCTTCAATTGCAAATAATTGGACTTCTATTCAAGAAAGATGGGTATTTTTTGTTGCTAAAAGCAAAACAACTGAATGAGCTTTTAGATGGTACCATTAACTCCAAGTGTCCAAAAATTGAAGAACCCCTGATTCCACCGCGTGGTGACAAATTGTATTATGCTACTGATGGTGGTTTTTCGTTTTGTTTTCCCAGTCTCTTACGTGGATGGTGTGGTCAGCCGACACAAGGGCAGGATGACCACGGAGCAGTTGTGTCTCTGGTTGTCCAGTCAGGTCAAGGAAACTGCTGGTCTGAGTGAGTACAACTTGTTGTTTTAGGGCACCTTGAACAAGTACAGGTCGTTGTTTTTAGAGTACTTTGGGTGAGCAAAAGTTGATTCTTCGACACTTTTAATGGGTACAGGCCTTTTTTTTTAGACCGCTTTGAGTGTGTACATGCCATTTTTAGAGCACTTTGAGTGAATACAGGCCCTTTTTACAGCACTTGGAGTTAGTACAGGCCTTTTTTAGAGCACTTTGAGTGAATATATGCCATTTTTAATGGCATTTTGATTGAGGATAAGATGATTCTTGTGCACTTTGAGGGAGTACAGGCCTTTTTTAGAGCACTTCGAATGAGTACATGCTTTTTTTTAGAGCTTTTTGATTGAGGATAAGTTGATTCTTGTGCACTTTGAGTGAGTTCAGGCCTTTTTCTTGGGTACTTTGAGTGAGTACGTGTTTTTATCTTGACATCATATTTCTTGGGTACTTTTGAAATGTGCAGTATACATGCGATTTATTATCATTATCATAACCTCATAACCAAGAGGCATTTCTCGCTGTCATGCGAATGAAGCTTTTTTCGTTGTCTTCCCTCGGCAGAGAATCCTCACACGGTGTTCCCGCTGCCTCGCACGTGGACACCCGAGCCCAAGGAAGAGGCTGGCCTGAGCCTGTTCTTGAACCCAAAACCTTCCACAAGGGTCATAGACGCTATCAGTAAGTCATTACCACTGGATTTCTTCTGATGATAATAATAATAATCAGCATTTGTATAGGGCAAATTTCCGTTTAACAGTAAGCTCTAGTGGGTGGTTGGTGGGTGCTCTGGTGTGGTTTGCTCCTTATTTCCTATCAAACATCTGTCGTCTTTATCTCTCCTCCTTCTTTTTTGTGTTTGTTACTCTCTTGTGACACATCTATTCTTCAGCACTTCATGACCTTTTTGTGTTGCGAGTGCCATAAAACTATTACTAAAACTAAAGCAAGCTCTATGCGCTTTACAATCTGTATTACTTTCTAGAATAGGAAGCATTTCGCCAGCGTTTCTGTCTATCTGCCGTGCTGCTTCCCTGCACTTTATGACGATATTGTGTCGATGTTGTTCTCTCTACTCGAAAACTCAAAAACTTTTAGCTGATGTCATGGCATTTTGATTTAAAATGCATAATTCTGTATCGGCCGATATTAAAAGATATGCTCATTCCCTAAGTGCTGGGGTTTAAAGAGTGTCACTGGTAGGTCCTGTTTCCTGTCATTCCGGCTGTTGTTTCTGGCTCTCTGTCTTTTTCCCAGCACTCTCTGATCATTATAACGTCGATCGATATTCTTCTCTTTACTAAACCAGACAAATAATGAGACCGCTGATAAATTGGCTCTGTGATGGATTTGGGTTGTTCCATTGGCAGTAACTGTGCCATGAAAGAAGTTTTAAAAGTTGAATGTCTTCAAAAAACATGTCATGGGTTTTATTCCTGATGTCTAATTTTTTTTAGAATTTGAGAAATTTACAATTTTTGGGAAGCTTGGAGGGTGCCACCTGAAGACCTCATGGTGATTTTGACGTCTTGGTGACCCCCCCTCCCTCCCCCCTCAAAAAAAAAGTGGAGACTGGCAGTTTTCATATTCATAGCTCCTAAGGAAAAACAGGAGAAAAAAAAGCTTTAGAATCTCAGCAAGCAAAGACTAGACTGGAAGTTGCCTCGTTTTCTTCATGGGTGGTTGGCGGGTGCTCTGGTACGGTTTACTCCCATCTTTCTTATCAAACATCTATCGTCCTTACCTCCCTTCCTTCTTTTCTTCGTATGTGACTCTCTAGTAACACCTCTAATTTTGGCACTTATATGGCTGGTGCTCTGGTGTGGTTTACTCCTTTTTTCCAATCAAACATCTGTCATCCTCATTTCCCCTCCTTCCTTTCTTTGTATGTTACTCTCTAGTGACACCTCTAATCTCCGGCACTTATATTACCTTATTGTGGTTGCAAGTGCCATAAAACTCGTACAAAAACCAGTGTCTCCCCTCTCAGGGAAGGAGCCCCCGACTGTGATAGACCAGGACGTGGTGCAAGGGGAGGAAGACGTCCGGTACTTTGCTCCCGACAACACAGAGTTACTCTCCCTGGAAAGAGCCGTCTTACAGGACCCGACAGACGCCGCCATGTGGCAGCGGCTAGCAGACAAAAAGCTGGCGGATCCCGACAGGTGAGTTTGTCTCATTGTGGTTGGGTTGCGGTATTTTGTTTCAGTATTAAGATTTTTTTTTGATTTTTTATTTTTTATTTTTTGGCATTGTCAACTGTTTTGGTTTTTTTCTCTTGGCGCGTTTTCGTATTGTTTTTTTCTTATGGTAAAAATCAGTTGGATTCTCCTAGAGGGGATGGTTGGAGGGTGCCACTGATTGTTTTTAATCCAGTTACTCTTTCAGAATATGCTCTTCGGCCCAAAGGGGGCTACTGGTTATGTCCTACTTTTTCTTTCCCTCCCTGTTTTTTTAACGTCAGTCTATCTGTCTCGTTTTTTCCCAATATTAGAGGCTAAGGTATTGTGTCAATTTGCTTCTCTTTACTCCAACTACAAACCTTCCCAAGGCTTTAAAATATTCTTTCTGATAGCTAGGAATCAAACTCTCTACACCCCTCGGGGGGGTGCCACTGACTAAAGTGTCATTAGGCCATTCCCAAAGGGGGGACATTTCTCGTTCTAATGCACAGAAGAATTGTAAATGGGCTGATCCAACAATGTCATGCTCATAACTGTGCCTGAACTACAACAGGGAACTGCTGCTTTTTCTTTCCTAATCCTTACTATCGGCATTATCCTCTACTTCTTTTGTATGTTTGTCACACTCTTGTGCCCCGCTATTTCCAGGGTGCCTTGATAGTCGAAGCAGACTTTGTGCTGTTGAAGCTAGAGAGGTGAGCAGAGTAAGTCTGATTCCCTGTAAGGACTTCTCTGTTGACACCCACCCCTTGGCGCTCATATGACCTTATGCAGTTGTGAGCGCCGTAAAACCTCTTCTAAAACAAAAACAAAATCTCTACTTTTTTTGCCACCTGAATACCTCCCCCCCCCCCGCCCCCCCTCAAACAAGTCGCCACTTGGAAAAAGTTTGTACACCTCAAAAACTTTTTAGAGTGGGTTGTTGGTGGGTGCTCTGGTGTGGTTTGCTCCTTCTTTCCTGTGAAACATCTGTCATCCTTATCTCTCCTCCTTCTTTTTTGTGTATGTTAATCTCTTGTAACACCTCTAATCTTCGGCACTAAATAACATAATTGTGCTGCAAGTGCAGTGGTGGGTGGTTGGCGGGTGCTCTGGTTTGGTCTGCTCTTTCTTTCCTATCAAACATCTACCATCCTTATCTCCCTTCCAGCTTTTTTGAGTTTGTTACTCTCTTGTAACATCTCTAATATTCGGCACTTATATGACCTTACTGTGTTGCGAGTGCTGTAAAACTTCTACTAAAACTAAACTAAAACTAAAAACAAGTGCAGTGAAACACGTACTAAAATGAAAATAAAACCTTTATGATATCTTTCTTAGTCCACCAGAATGTTTAAGGAAAACAAAAAAAAGTGTATTTCCTGGTTCCTCAGATCGGCTCGTGAATGCATGGACAACGCGCTGAATGTGTTGGCACGGGGGCTCGAGGCGAACAGGCACGCCTGTACGCTGTGGCAGCGTTACCTGGCTCTGTACTGTCGACACCCGGAGGCCGACAACTTCCTGCAGTTCTGTCGGACGGGCCTCGAGTACGCCCCTTCATACGACATCTGGTTCCTGGTATGGCTGGCTTGACATTATCAAAGATCATACATAACAGGATAGTTCACTTCTCTCTTTGAGCCCATTAAAAAAGTATCCTCAAAATCCGGTGGCGCCCTCTTCGAAAGAGTGCGGACTTTGCGGACAGAGTTACCCTACTGGTGTGAAAAGCAATAGAACTGAAGCTTACAAACTGTGTTATTCCTATTCTTCCTCTGCAAAAACGAAAGAGAACTTCAAAACAGATACTGCAGCGCCATCTGAACCAGTGTGCAGACTTCCGCAGACACTTTTTTGGCTGAGTGAACTATCTAGTTATCTATGATCTTTGACGTTATTATTTATCCTGCGATTAAAGCGAGTAAATTTCATTATGTGATATATCAGCTGATTTAATCAGCCATAATTTGAGCTGCTATTTCTATTTGTTTACCCCGTTTTTACATATCACCAAACATTTCAACTCCTTCACAAATGAGTTCTATTTCAGAGATAACATGGCCTGTGAAAAATAGGAACATCTCATTGAAACCAAGGTAAAGGTTTACATAGGCGGCTGTGTGTGGTGTCAGCTCTTTTACATCGCCTACTCCTAAATTATCTAAATTTTGTCGATAGGGGCTTATAAGAACACTTTAAAAAATAAAAGATGTAAGAGTGATGCTGTGTCTTTCTCTCTCTGCAGTACCTCAACTCGCTGAAGACGTACTCTGAAAAGGATGGGGCCTGTAACCAAGCCTTAAACTTCTTAGACACAGGCTCAGGAATTGAACCCAAGTCTTCCGTGTCTTTGGCGGACAGAGAATCCCAAGGTCAAGGAGGTGACGATGACACATGTTTGACAGGTAAATGTTCGATGTATTTTTTTTTTCCAGCAGGAATCAAGTTAATTTAGTTCTGAGAAAAATATAGGAATGGGTTGTGCTTCCATTTTTTCTACGGCACTTCTCCTCTCTTTCTTATAAAAGAAAAAGGAATGGTTGGTAGGAGGGCCCCCACTTGCTGGTCCCTTTTCTTTTCTTGTCCTCTGTTGTTTCTGTCTTTCTGCCCAGCTTTACTGCGGGTGGTTGGCAGGTACTTTCGTGTGGTTTGCTGCTGCTTTCCTATCAGCTGTCTACCGTCCTTATCTCTCCACCATCTTTTTTGTGACAGTTACTCTCTTGTAACAACTCTAATTTTCAGCACTTAAATGACCTAATTGTGTTGCAAGTGCCATAAAAACAAATGTCTCGCTTTTTTCCTGCACTGAATGATCTTTATTGCGTCTATGCGCTTGCTTCACTTTAACTCAAACGTTGATACTGGTACTTGAAAAATTTTGTTGGTGTGTTGTAGGCATTAACTTTTTTGTTTTTCCTTTTTTTTATAATTCATTTATTTTTTTTTAGAATTACTTCTCTCTCCTCCCCCCTCTTCCTCCTCCTCATCCTCTATCTGCTCCTGTTCACCCTGCACCTTTTCCTTCTCGTCATCTTCCTGTTCCCCCATCTCTCCCTCCCCCTCCTCCTCTTCCTGTATCCTTGTTTTCCCTGAAAATAACACCATTACCTCCTACCTCCAGATGTCCCCAAGTCCCCCACCTCCACAGACAAAAGCACACGGTCTCATCAAGCTCTGGAAATGATTCTGTACAAGGCTTGTCTGAACTTGCTCTCTGGACGGCTGAAAACCACTCTCAACTTCTTGCAGGTAGGTCATAATAATAATAAAAATAGATAGCATTTGTATAGGGCAAATTCCCGCTCAGCAGTAAGTTCTATGTGTGCTAAAGCGAGGTATAGCGGACTTGCGCGAGTTGAACTCCTGGAAAAAGATTTTCAGAATAGATAATGCCCTTTTTTAAAATGTAAATCCCTTGACCATATTAGGAAGAGGGTGAGAAAACTTGTCTTGAAAAACGTAGAAGACACACATGTCTAATCAGCAGGAGACCAAAAGCGTAATTGTAAATGGGCTGATTTATCAATGTCATGCTCATACTGTGCCGAAACAACATAGGGGGAACTACTGCTTTTTCTTTCCTAATCCCTACTATCGTCATTTTTTCTTTACTTCTTTTGTATGTTTACAACACTCTTGTGACCCGCTATTTCCGGGGTGCCTTGATAGTCGAAGCAGACTTTGTGCTGTTGAAGCTAGAGAGGTGAGCAGAGTAAGCCTGATTCCCTGTAAGGACTCTTCTGTTGACATCCACCCCTTGGCGCTCATATGACTTTATGCAGTTGCAAGCTCCGTAAAACCTTACTAAAACTAAAAAAGACGAAAGGCAATGTTGTTGCACGTTCCAAACCATTGCGCATAAATCAGAAACACGCATTTGTATCATTCAAAGTACGGATGCTGTTGCCTGCCTTTTTAAGTTTCAGATTAATTAAGAAAATGGAATTGCAAAATCTGTATGAATAAGAAAGCTGTGTGTTATTGTTTGGTTTTTTTCTAGTGCCCCTAAAAGAGCACGTCTTCAGGAATTGTTGAATGACTAGAAGGCGTTGTGTGTCTTCAATGAATGTCATTTTTACAAAACTTTTACCAAGATTTTTTAAATGAAGTTTCAGAGAATCATTTTACAATGGTGCCAATTTTCTGGATGAATCCAAAAATCCAGATTTATCAAATTATCCGGATTTTACCGAACTTTGGGCTTATAATGTATAAAAATAGTCTTTATACAAGATGCATTAGACAATATGATCCGTATACTTCGAGTCCCTGGGTGCGTGTTTCCGCTGGAGTCTTAGTTTTAGTAGAGGTTTTACGGCGCTCGCTACTGCATAAGGTCATATGAGCGCCAGTCATTGGGGTCTGAAAAGTTCAAGACTTTCTTTTGCAACTAGATCTAGTTGACATGTCTGATTTTAAAAATTGCTGTTGGAAAACGTTTGCCTATTCCTTCGAATCTGTTTGGTAACAGAGGCTGGAAAAAGTGAAGTAAGATAAAAACTGTCAGATCTCCCATGTTTTTCTTCCCCCGTTTAGTCTGTGCTTTGCCTCAAGTTTGCTTTGTCCCGCAATTCCGCAAGGTAACAGAGGCAGGAAAAAGTGAAATGAGTTGAAGACTTGGATCTCCCGTGTTTTTCTTCCTCCGTTTAGTCTGTGTGAAAATTATTGAATCTCCTGTGTTTTTGTTCTTCTGTTTAGTCTGTGTGAAAATTATTAGATCTCCTGTGTTTTTTTCCCTCGGTTTACGAGTAGTCTGTGTGAAAACTATTTGATCTCCCATGTTTTTCTTCCTCCGTTTCGTCTCTGTGAACACTGTAGGATCTTTCGTGTTTTTGTTCCTCGGTTAAGTCTCTGTGAAAACTGTTGGATCTCCCGTGTTTTTCTTCCTCTGTGTAGTCTGTGCTTGGCCTCAAGTCGACACCATCCACCCCGCTGCGAGCCTCGTCGCTGCTCACTACTGCTGACCACCTGGTGCTGTGGCTGTGCTACATACACGTGCTGGAGTGGCACCAGCTGCCCCCGGACCTCTACAGCCCCACGGACCAGAACCCCGGACGTTTGCTCTCAAAGGTAGGACCCACTTTGCTTCTAGTGGGTTTGAATGTAGATGATGTCAGTCATAATTGTTTGGTTTTTATACACTATTCCCCTCTTAGGGCGGCACTAATGTACGTTGTTTTGTTTTTGTTTTGGGGGGCGGTTCGTATTGTCATGTTCTGTCACAATGGTTTTGTTTTTTCTACCCTCTTCCTTCCCCTCTCAGTTCATCTCTAATGTATTTTGTATTTTTTATTTTGTCTCGTTCAGTCACAATGGTTAGTGGGTGATTGGCGGGTGCTCTGGTGTGGCTTGCTTGTTCTTTCCTATCAGACAACTATCATCTCTATCTCCTCTTTATATGACCTTACTAAAACTAATGTACTGGGGGGGGGGGGGGGGGGTATGTATTTGGTTTTTCTGCACAATTCCACTCTCACAGCATCTCTAATGAACATAATTTTTGTGTATATCGTTGTGTCCAGGCGGTCACTCTCCACTGGCCAGAAGCCCGGCCTCTGTACTCCAGCCGAGACACGCTGATCAAGCTGCACAAAAAGGCCATACGTGTTGGGGACAAAGCTGTCCTTGACCTTGAGGCGACCCGCCACTACGTGCAGGTGGTCAGGAGTCTGTTCGCGCTGTTGTCTCTGGAAAGGTTGGTTTGATCCATTGATTCTGTGGCATTGGGTGTGTCGTGGTGTGATCTCTTGGGTATGGTCTCAGAGAACAGGTTTTGAGAACTCGAGGGTTAATCTCACCTGTTGAGAGGATTAGAAATTCATCTCACCTTTTGTTAGAGTTAGAGTTGAGAGGGTTAGGAGTTTATCTCACCTGTTGAGAGAGGGTTAGGAGTTTATCTGTCTCACCTTTTGAGAGGGTTAGAAGTTAATCTCACCTGTTGTTAGAATTATTAAGAGTTTAGGGGTTTATCTCACCATTTGAGAAGATTAGGAGCCTTAGGGATTTTTTATTTTTTATTTGCCATTGAGTTATTCAAAATTTTGGGGGCAAGATAGCATTCAAAATATTTTTTATGGCGGAATTTCAGTCAAAATATTTTATGGGATGGAATCTCATTCAAAAGATTTTTATGGCGGGACTTTATTCAAAACATTTTTGGGATGGGATCTCCTTCAAAATACTCTTCACCCCCCGGGGCGGTGCTACTGACTGAAGTGTCTTTAGGGCATTCCCAAAGGGGGGAACACTAACATCTCGAGTTCTTTGCACTGTAGAATTGTAATTGTAAATGGACTGATTCATCAATGTCATGCTCATAGCTGTGCCTGAAATGCAGCAGAGAACTGCTGCTTTTTCTTTCCTAATCCTTTCTATTGTCATTTTCCTCTACTTCTTTTGTATGTTTGTCACTCTCTTTTGACCTGCTATTTTGGGGTGCCTTGATAGCCAAAGCAGACTTTGTGCTGTTGAAGCTAGAGAGGTGAGCAGAGTAAGTCTGATTCCCTGTAAGGACTTCTGTTTTGACATTCACCCCTTGGCGCTCATATGACCTTATGCAGTTGCGAGCGTCATAAACCGTCTACTAAAACATAAAACAAAATACTTTTTTGTTATGGCAGGGTTTCATCCAAAATATTTTTTGGACGGAATCTCTTTCAAAATATTTTTCTGGCTGGATTTCAGGCCCGCTGAAGCTGTCAGCTTAAGCCGCAGCGTCTTGTCCTCAAGGAACTTGGAAGAAATCTGGCTGGCCACAGCTGACCTCTACGCCTCGTTCAAAGACAAAGATGGCGTGAAGCAGGTGAGGTTTGTGAGTTGACCAGGCTTGCCCATCATCATCATCGTCGCCTTTCTCACCCTGCACCAGGATATTGGCCACAGACAATCACTTTCCACCTTTCTCTGTCCTGGGCTAGCCTCTTGATGTTATTCCATGGCTTCCCGCTTTTCTGTCCTCCGTCTCCCAAGATTGAAAAATAAAAAGCAGTGTTTGTCCGTGTTTTTGTAACTGTCTGTTTTTACTGGGTTGGGTAGTTGGCCCTCCGCAAACTTACACTTTCTGGGAGACCAGACCTGTGCTCCTTTAGTCGCCTCTTACGACATGCAGTATCACGGCAGGTGTATTCTTTGTTCCCCTATAGTAAAACTATGGGGCCCCCCCACCTACAGGGGCAAGGCTGTCCCAAATTCCGCGAGACCATCCCAGGAAATTTGAGAGGACATTTACCATACTACACCAAAACCAGTCTCCCTTAATTATTTTTGTTGTTAAGTAATCTGATCTGCTGTAAGCTGACAAAACATCTTTTTTATATTCACAGCAGTTTCGAGAAACAGGATTTTTTTGCCAGCATAACCGTTGAAAAATAGAGTTATTACGAAATTTTAATTCAAATTTATTCAAAAACTAGACACAGTTTCACTTTGAATTTTTCACACAAGTAGAGTAACCGATCAGTCTTTCCATTTAGCAAATAAAAAATGTTGACGCCAAAATGAAAAAAGGCGTTTTGTTAGCTTACAGCAGTGATGTCATTACATTGGGTGCCTCTGACTGGGTTTTTGAAAAAGTTGGCAAGCTTGGTTCACTCTGAATTGTCATTGTATCATCAGGCATTAGTAGAAGGCAAAAGAAGCAGAGGTAGACCAAGCACAGTTTACTCACAGAACTTGAACAGATGAGAGACGGGGAAAGACCAGGATAATATACAATTTTTGAAAGTGCAGAGTGGAAAAGTGAGTGGCGAATCATGATTACTGATGTCCACTTCAAATCTGACACCAGATGATGATAACATTTGTAAACACTTTTGCAAGGACAGTTAGACATATGCAATTTTTCACATTAAAAAAATTTCTTAGCTCTCCCTCTTTCTCTCTGTCTGTCTGTCTTGTTTTTCCTCTGTGCTAAATGAACGTTACTGGGTCAACATGCTTCTCTTTACTCAATTTCAGACTGTAGTTTTCATGGAGCATTGTGGCCATTGTCACACTTACCCATTGTAAACTGTTGTTCAACAACAACAACAACAACAACAATCCATCTGCATCTGTGGTGAAGTGGGTTGTTGTTGTTGTTATTGATCCAGCAACAGCTGAGCTCTCGTCGTTCTGTCCAATGCCATATAGTGAGAAGTGCAGGTTTGCTGCAGTTGCTGTAATGTTCCGTAAAGTGTGTAGTCAATGTTAGGTCTCGGAGGGAGAAGAGTAGCTCTGATGTCATTTAGAGCTGTGCAGTGGAACAGGTGATGATCCACAGTGTCATATGTATAGTCACACAAGGGACACATTAGGGGAAGTTCTGGGTTTATTCTGTTCAAGTGAAAGTTGAGCTGTTTATGTTCTGTTCGTAGGCGAAAGATCGTGGGCATAGTGGGTATATGCTTCACTGTCGCACACAGAAGAGAGTTCGATTCCCATGTGGCGAGGTTTTTTAAAATCAAGTATCTCCATCTGCCTATGCGGTCGTTGTATCACCGTGTGCCCAGGTTGGTTGGCGGCAGCCTTTTGGTCAATAAAGCAGCCTACCTCCTAAATGATGTAACTGGTGTTGATCGAGATGGAAAAGGTCTACAGATACAATTACAACAGCGTTCTCAATTTAGCACACTTTTACTCGGGGGTGTTTGGCGGATGCTCTGGTGTGGTTTGCTTCTTCTTTCCTATCAAACATCTATTGTCTTTATCTCTCCTCCCTCTTTTTTGTGTTTGTTACTCCCTCTAATCTTCGGCACTTATATGACCTTATTGTGTTGCAAGTGCCGTAATACTCTTACTAAAAACAAACACTTTCACCCCCAGGTGTTCCAAGAGGCTGTGAAAGTTCATGAACACTCGGCAAAGCTGCACTTTTATTGGAATTCATTCCTTATGTCAGAGGTAAGTCCAAATATTCACTGGCAAGGCACAGGCCAAAGTTGAGAGTGGATGTTTTATCTCAGGTTGCACACTTGCACAAATTACCATTCCCTAAAATATATAATTGACAATGCCTAAGATGGGATCCCAAGGGGAGGAGGAAGAGGGGAAGGCCGAATTCCATGTAGGAGTGAGATGTAGAGGCAAATCTCAGGAATAAGGGGCCCAGCTGGCTGGAGGTGGAGAAGATTGCTTCAAACAGAAACATGTGAAGAGCCCTTCTTTGCGGCCTATACCTGTGTTGTTCGGGCTTCGCATATGAAGATAACCATGACTTCACAAATTGGTCTGTTGACAGTGACTGTGGGTCTGGAGATGGCTGATTAGTTCTATCCGGGCTCGGAAGGTTCGCCCACATTGTGTGCATGGGTAGTCTGCTGTTGGGCTTGTGGTGGAGGCAGGTCTAGACTTGCGCACGTTGCGTTTTTGTTTGACTTCGGCGATTCGCTTAGCTTCTGCTGTTTTGGTTCCCTTCGTTAGATTGCAGCGCCACGCTGGACGATCTTGGGCCAGCGTTTCCCATGAGTCGTTCAGGATTCCAAGTTCCTTTAGAGAGACTTTGAGGCAGTCCTTGAAACATTTTTTCTGCCCTCCAACTGAGCACTTGCCATGGAGCAGCTCTCCATACATCAGCTGCCTATACTCAATGAAAGAGGTGGATGAGATGATGAGAAAGTATGATTTGCCAATCTCATTTTTTGCATTATATTTATGATTTGAGTCACCCAGTGCCTTGTATTCCTACACAGTAGTGTCCCTTATAACATAACGTGAACAGTTTGAATTTATGAGGGTTTTTTTTTTTAATCACAAAATCAAGTCGCGTGCAAAGGAAAAAACGACAAAAAAAGCTAGTTAGCAGTAGTTGCTGCTGTTGTAGAAATGAAGACTTTTGCCACTCCTGTGCAGTAGTGAGATGATGCATGGAGCATCCCGTCTTCCTAAGACCCCAGTTCTAGATTCAAGTAATTCAGGATGGAATGATCATGACTTAAGCTGAGTCGAGGGTTTTCCTGTGTATTCTGCAGCTCATCTCTGAATGTTTCTTTCAATCCTTCCCTGTCACACACAGAAGAGAGTTCGATTCCCATGTGGCAAGGTTTGTTGGGTTTTTTTTATCAAGCATCTTTGTCTGTCTACGAGGACATTTTGCTCAGATTGGCCATGATCTTTTAGGCAGGAAAGCCGCCCACTTGCTAAATGAAGTTACTTGTAGTGATGGGAGTGGAGAAGTCTACCGTTAAAATTACAATAGTTTTCTCAATTCGGCGCTCGAAGTTTTTGCTTATCGTTAACTGCATTTGTACATTTTGCACTGAGATGTTTGGGGTTTTTTAAAATTCTTTTTATGTTTTTTTTTCCTCTCCAGGGAGAAACTGAGGAGGCCCTCTGCAATCTGGAGCAATTTGTCATCAACCAGTTTGACGTGGACACGAGAGAATCTCAACGTTGTGACCCCAACCAGCTCTACGGGTATCCTCATCTTTTCTTTTTTCATATAATGATAATAGAAATGCAGTCGAAATTGTCGAAGACCTCTGTTTGTTGTCAGGGAGAAAAGTGGCTGTCTAAGACAGGTCATCGTCTTAGGCTGTGTCGTTGGAGTTTTAAAAAGAAGAGAAAAAAAAGGCACGTGGAGAAGTGCAAGTAGGAAATGGTCGTTTGTACAGGTGACTCTCTTGAGTTTGTGGTGGTTAAGCAAGTTCGATTGTGATAATAATGACAATATATAAATATAACGACGACAATGGTTATAGTAATAATATAATAACGATGATGATAATACTGACAATAATAATAATGATAAATGATTCCTATTTGATCTGAATTGATTTGATGCTGCCTAAAAACATGTACATGTGGGGGGGGGGGGGGGTGGCAAAGAAAAACTTTGTTGGTTGGCCATATTTAGCTCCATCCTCCACCTGGCCTTGAAGCAGCCAAAGACTGGGACAAGTTTGAGAGAAAACAATCACTGACTGCCGTGCCGTGAAGATGTTAGGTGCTTCGCTGTTGTGCGCAGAAGATGGTGTGGGTTTGATTCACTTATGTGGGGAAGTTTTATATTGCCACTTCTGGACAATAAGGAGTTATCTTATAAAGGCTAAAACAGCACCTGGACATGGATGGCTGGTGCCTCTATAAATAAATCATTGATGGTCCGGAGTTATCTTATCTTATCTTTCCTTATCTTATCTTATCCTATCTTATATTAAGTTATTCCACCTTATCTTATCCTATCTTAACTTACATTATATTATCTTATCTTGTGTTATCCTACCTTATCTTACCTTACCTTGCATACCTTACCTTAACCTTATCCTCACCTCGCCTCACCTCATCTCACCTCACCTTATTTTAAATTGCCTTACCTTATCTCATCTTATCTCCTCGGTGGTCCGACAGTCAGTTGTTGGGGCAGCAAGAAGCCTTCTCCCTGCAGATGTTGCGGATCAAGCCACAGGCAGGAGGGGACGAAAAGCACAAGAACATCTACCTCTGGCTGTGCTACAGGTGAGCTCATCGGCAGAATTTTTGGCCGCCGCCGTCTGTGGTCTAGGGGTCAGGCACTTCGCCGACGCAGGCAGGAAACCCTGAGTTTGGTTCCCGAATGGGGAGAAAAATTTCAGCGAGTGTCTCGGTTTTTCTTTGATGGGATGTTGTGTCCCTTTCAGCTCGGGTTGGCTGTGACAGGCAGGGTTGGAAGCCCGCCTCCTAAATGATCTAAATTGTGTTGGTTGTGCAGGGAAAAAAAATCAACAAAAAGACAGGTACTTTAACTTGGAAAAAAGAATACGGTGATCTGAAGAATTTCTGACTTAAAATAGGAGGGTTGTGTAGCACAATAGAAGTGGGCGCGATAGAAGTGATCTTTATTATTTTTATTATTATTATTTTTCTTTATTTTTCTATTTTTTTATTATTTTTATTTTTGCTACTACAGTGTGATGTAGGTGACTGGAGAGCGCCATTGGTAGGTCTGACGTCTCTGCTGGCCCTATGTTGTGACTGTCTATCTCAGCACTTAATGGCTTTGATTGTGTTGAAGTTCTTCACTTTGCTCAAACAAACACTACAAGCCGCCCTTCCATAACATCGCATTTACTTGTTCCTTGTGGGTGGTTGGCGGGTGCTCTGGTGTGGTTTGCTCCTTCTTTCTTTTCTAACATCTATTGTCTTTATCTCCCCTCCTTATTTTTTGTGTTTGTTACTCCCTTGTGACACCTCTAATCTTCGGCATTTATATGACCTTATTGTGTTGCAAGTGCCGTAAAACTCTTACTAAAACTAAAACTTGTTCCTTCCGCAGTCTCTTGTTAGAGCTACAGGGAGAGAGAGTGAACACGGTGGAGATCTATGAGCGGTCCCTGACCCATGCTCAGACTTCGGACGACCTCGTTGTTGCTTGGCAAAAGTAAGTACGGAGTTGCTTCTGAAAATTTTGTTATCAGATATCTGTTGTCCTTATCTCTCGTCCTTCTTTTGTGTGTATGTTAGTGGGTGGTTGGCGGGTGCTCTGGTTTGGTTTGCTCCTTCTTTTTTGTGTATATGTTACTCTTTTGTAACACATCTATTTTTTGGCTTTTATGTGAACTTTTTGTGTTGCAAGTGCTGTAAAACTCTTTCCAAAAACTAAACTAAAACTAAAATGTTGTATCTGTACACACTAAATTTGTTCAATAAAAGGGTTAAACGTCCTGATTTCTACTCACCTCAGGGTTGGTTGGAGGGTGCCACTCGTAGGTCTTACTATTTTTTTCTTTCCCTCTGTTTTTCTGTTTGTCTGTCTCCCTTGCTTTTCTCCAGCACTTAATAAGCGTTACTGTTTCGATGTGCTTCTGTTTGTTCTGATTTTTTTTTAAGGCGTTTTATCAGCAAAACCATTTCAAAGGCGTTCCTCCGAAATTTGAAAGCTAATTTATTCAAAAACTAGTGGCAGTTTCGCTATGATTTTTTAAACACAAGCAGGGTAACTGATCAGGCTTTTGATTTAGCAAATGAAAAAATGGGCGCCCAAAATTTTTTTAACTCTTTATCTCTGAGGGGGGTAAACCCACTACGCCAGGGCCATTTTGTGGTGCTAAATCTAAAAATGACAAAAATGTCATTAAATGGGTCATTAAATCGAAAAAAGCAAACCTATTTTGATAGTTCTTCATCTAATGAATGAACTTTCAGTATCGGAGACCTGTTTTCGGCAATTGCCGCAAAGTAATTTGACGTCAAAGTCATCGTAAAGGAATGTGCCGGAGCCGCTGTCAGCGACTCACCAGCACAGTGGTTCCGACCGCGAGCTGCTTGGAGCAGTTTGCAGGAGATAAAAAGTTAAGGCCTAATGCCTCAACCGTGTCTTTGTTCCCAGCTATATCGGCTTCTTACTCCGGACGGAAGCGGCCAGCCCCGAAGATCTTCACAGTCTCCTGTCCCGCTCCATCATCTCCATGCCGACCAAATCTCCCGTCCCGCTCCGGCCAACTGCCCACTGGCTCGACTACAGACACTGCAACACACTGGTGGAGGCCTGGCTGGCAGTGCTGGACGGGGCCAATCGTCTTGACGTGGCAGAGTTTTGCCTGGGCTGCATGCCGGCTAACATGCAGCTTTTACTACGGTTTGAAATACGCCTTTTTACGTAGCCCTCGCTCTCTCTTCTGTACTTTGCTCCGCTTGGTTTGTGTGTTTGAAATACGCCTTTTTACGTATCCCTCGTACTCCCTACTGTACATTGCTCCTCTTGGTCTGTGTGTTTGAAATACACCTTTTTACGTAGCCCTCGTACTCCCTTCTGTGTTTTGTTCCTCTTTGTCTGTGTGTTTGAAATACGCCTTTTTACATACCCCTCGTACTGCCTACTGTGTTTTTTTGTTCCTCTTGGTCTGTGTGTTTGAAATACGCCTTTTTACGTAGCCCTCGTACTCCCTTCTGTGTTTTGTTCCTCTTTGTCTGTGCTGTGTGTTTCGGAGTTTGAAGCGTGGGTGGTTGGCGGGTGCTCTGTTGTGGTTTGATCCTCCCTTCCTATCAAACATCTGTCGCTTTTTATTGCTCCTCGTTCTTTATCTTTGTAAATTATTCAATAGTAGCTTTTCAAATCTTCAGCATTTTATGTGACCTAATATGTGTTGGAGATGCTGTTAGTGTGCTGTTAGCGGGTGCTCTGGTGGGGTTTGCTTCTTCTTTCCAATCAAACATCTATCGTCTTTATCTCTCCTTCTTTTTTTGTATTTGTTGCTCTCTTGGAACACCTCTAATCTTCGGCACTTATATGACCTTATTGTGTTTCAAGTGCGGTAAAATTTTAACTAAAACTAAACATATGAGGTTTGCTCCCCATTTCCTATAAAACATCTGTCGCTTTTATTGTTCCTCGTTCTTTATCTTTGTAAATTACTCAGTAGTAACATTTCAGGTCTTCAGCATTTTATATGACCTAATGGCGTGGCAGATGCTGTTAAATTCTTATTGAAACAAAAACAGTTTGAATGCAACACTTTGTATGACCTTATTGTGTGGGTGGTTGGCAGGTGCTCTGGTTTTGGTTTGCTTCTTCTTTCATATCAAACATCTATCGTCCTTATCTCCCCTCCTTCTTTTTTATGTTTGTTACTCCCTTGTAACACTTCTAATCTTCTGGTGCTTATATGACCTTGTGCAGTCGCGAGCGCCATAAAACCTCTACTAAAACTAAACTAAAATACATTTATTCTTCAGCACTTATATGACCTTAAAAGTGCCGTAAAACTCTTACTAAACTAAAGCTAAAAAAAACTTTTATGACTTTTCTCCAGCACTAAATGGCTGTTATTTTGTAGATATGCCTCTTTTTTTACTCAGAACGCCAGAACATATTTTTTTTTTTCTCTCTTTTTTTTCCCCCTTGCAGAGTGGTAGAGCTATGCCTGGCCAACAAGGAGACTCGTCGCGCCTACAGCTGGTGCAAGATGGTCGCCGCACAGACAGAGAAACCAGCCAACCTGGCGTTTTGGAGAATGTAAGCGCAAAATGAAATCAGGGAGATACTTGGTATGGCACTAACCTGCTGTCCACAGTGAAAGGACGCAAACTGTAATAACCCTTTGGGGCGGTGATACTGACTGAAGTGTCTTTAGGCCATTCCCAAATGGGGGACATGTTCTTATGCACAGTAGAATTGTAAATGGGCTGATTTTTCAATGTCATGCTCATAACTGTGCCTGAACTGCAGCAGGGAACTGCTGCTTTTTCTTTCTGAATCCTTACTATCGTCTTTTATCCTCTACTTCTTTTCTTTGTTTGTCACTCTCTTGTGAACTGCTATTTTCGGGGTGCCTTGATAGTCGAAGCAGACCTTGTGTTGTTGAGGCTAGAGAGGTGAGCAGAGTAAGCCTGGTTCCCTGTAAAGACTTCTCAGTTAACATCCACCCCTTGGCGCTCATATGACCTCATGCAGATGCGAGCACCATAAAAACTCTACTAAAAACACACTAAAATTCTCGTGATTGGCTTACAATTATTATTCCGCTATCAGTTCTCTTTCCGTTGACTTATTGTTTATTGTATTCCCTTTTTAGTTGACGCATTATTCCCAATATATTTCTTATGAGGTTTTGGATTGGGAGTACTCATACCCCCTGGGGCAGTGCCACTGACTGTAGTGTCTTTAGGCCATTCCCAAAGGGGGGACATTTCTCATTCAAGCATAGTAGAACTGTAAATGGACTGACTCATGTCACGCTCATAACTGTGCCTGATCCACAACAGGGAACTGCTGTTTGTACTTTCCTGATCCTTACTATTGTCATTTTCCTCTACTTCTTTTGTATGTTTGTCACTCTCTTGTGACCTGCTATTTTGGGGTGCCTTGATAGTCGAAGCAGACCTTGTGCTGTTGAAGCTAGAGAGGTGAGCAGTCTAAGTCTGATTCCCTGTAAAGACTTCTCTGTTGACACCCACCCCTTGGCGCTCATATGACCTTATGCAGCTGCGAGCGCCGTAAAACCCTCTACTATTTTTTTTTTTTTTAAAGGAGTACTCATTGCTTGAGAGTTTGTGTGGTCTAGGTGGGTGCTTCTGGTCTTATTACGTGTGATGCTCGATGGGTTTTTTTCCCCAATGATGAAATAATTCTGGGTTGTGGTGTCGTTGTTTTTTTCCTCTACAGAACGAGTGCCCTTGCCCAGGAGGAGGGAACGGCCCATGAGGTGAGTAAGAGCGTCAAACTTTTCTGTTGTTGTTGTTGTTAGCGATCCAGGTCAAACTTTTCTCAGATGTGAACGTTGAAGTGATTGTGGTTTCGTTTTTTTCTTCTGTACATTTGAAAAGGGTACTCGCTGTTACTGTATAATAGATTCCGCTGAAACAGAACACGGGTAATCCGAAAACGTTGATAAACTGAAAGAAAATAGTCTCCTTTTTTTTTTTAAACTTCGCTATTTTAGCAACCTCTCTAAACCCAAAACACAACTAAACCGAAGAAGATCCAGCCATCCCGAAGATTTCTGTATAAGCGAACTCTGCTGTACTTGTAACTCAAACTTTACTTTTCACTTTTTCATCCTCTGTTGCCGTTATACGTCGAGGGGAGATGCAGTTTTCTATGGTAGGCCAACTCTGCAGCTCTTTCAGTTGGGATGTTACAGTTACTCAGGGTTCCCATGACACCCTCAGTCCATCTTTTGCATGGCCTACCTCTTTCTTTATGTAACTCAGACTGTGACTGGAAATGTTCTTGTTGGGAAAGGAAGTTTTGTGTCTTCCATTCAATACTTTAAAAATCTTATGCTTAGTTTACATGTAGAATTTTACAATGTTTAAAGATTGTAGGGGAAAAGGGCAAAGCGACATTTTAAACATTATTTTGACTTATGCTCCATAGGACAGAAAATGTTCTTGATTGAAAAGATTTTTTTTTCTTTCATTCTTTTTTTCTAAATCTGATGTATCGTTTACATGTGAAGTTTTACAATAATTGTAGACTACGTAGGTAAAAGTAAAAAGATGTAGTGAGAACTCTCACTTCTACAAATATTGGTCAAAGTCTTGGAATTGTGTGAGTGGGTGGTTGACAGGTGCCCAGGTGTGATTTTACTCCTTTTTTCCAATCAAACATCTATAGTTCTTGTCTCTGCTCCTTTTTTACTCTGTATGTTACTTTCTAGTAACACCTCAAATCTGCAGTACTTAAATCACCTATTTCTGTTGCAAGTGCCGTAAGACTGCTACTAAAACTAAAATTTGGAGTTTTTAAGCCCTTTCCAATCATTCGCATGTAGGCGAAATACTTTTTTAATTAAGTTTTGTCATCAAGGGATGGCAATTTTATCCTTTCCTGTGTCTCTGGTGTAATGGTTAGACACTTCACCAGTGCACGCACAAGAAGTGACACCACCACCCCCCAGGGCAGTGCTACTGACTGATGTGTCTTTAGGCCATTCCCAAAGAGGGGATATTAACATATTAACTTGTTCTTATGCACAGTAGAATTGTAAATGGTCTGATTTCTCAATGTCATGCTCATACCGTGCAGGAACAACATTTGGGGAACTTTTTCTTTCCTCATCCTTACTATCGTCATTTTCCTCTACTTCTTTTGTATGTTTGTTACTCTCTTGTGAACTGCTATTTCCGCGGTGCCTTGATAGTCGAAGCAGACTTTGTGCTGTTGAGGCTAGAGAGGTGAGCAGAGTAAACCTGATTTCCCGATTGGACTTCTCTGTTGACATCCACCCCTTGGCGCTCGTATGAGCTTATGCAGTTGCTAGCGCAGTAAAACCTTACTAAAACTAAACTAAAAACTCTTACTGAAGCTAAAATGACAAACATTTCAGAAGGACCAGATGCTGGTGGGATGTGTGGAAGCTATGCCCCTGGCCGTCGCCGGATGGAAAGATGTAATGTTTTGTCAGCAGGTCATCGCGACCTCTGTGCTTTCTTGTCCTGTCTCCATTTTTAATAACAGTGAATATTAACAGTAAAAACAGTTCATAACAAAGAGTGAGCTCAAGAAGAAGTCACATTTTCACTGTTAAAAAAAAAATGGAGATACGACAAGAAAGCACTGATGTCACGAGATTTAATTAGTTGGGGACACCGCTGATTAAGCACCCTTCCAACCCCTCAAACCCCTTTTCTCAAAGTACTGATTTGCAATGATATTAACTGTTTATAATCTATTTCTGGAAATGAAGCTTTTAAAGGCTTAAAATGTGGCAAATTCTCTTCTCTGCTAGAATTTGTCTCATTGGCCATAAAAGAAGCCACAAGTTATCTTAATCCTTATTTCTTCCATTTTCGCTGAACAAATTTTCTCCTCTGCAGACGCATTGTTCGTCATTAGACATTGACAGATGAACTTTTATTATATCACATATGTTATAGCTAATGATAGACGACTTGTTTTTTAAATCAGCTTGTGTTTAAATAGAGAGGTACTATGTTTGAATCATTTTGGAAACAGGGTGGGGACACAGTTGTGAGTTTCCTCTCTCTAATCTACCCCCACCCCCACTCCCCCACCACCCAAACTCCACCACCCCTCTTCTTTCCCTGTGTCCCACCCCCCTCCCTTCCCCAATCCTCCTCCTCTTTTTCCTCCCTTCCTCCCTCCTCTACATCCCTCTGGC